ATTGGCCTCCTACTCAGGGAAGAACCGTCGTGGATGTCCCAGGTTTAGGATAGTTCTTGTGCAAGCCTGTAGAAATGATGGACAACCAAGGGACTGAACGGAAAGAATTCTTTCGAATCTGAAAAGGTAGAGTCAAGATCGCCAGCTCCCTCAGCAGAAGAAACATCTTCGTCAGGTGGTAGCTTCCGTTTTGGGACGTACCACGTCTTTGCCTCATAAGACATTAATATTCCAATACTATGCACAGGGACTCAGGATTATACTGAGTTCTTTTACGGAAGATGCTCTTTTGGAAAATTATACAGAAGCTTACAGACTGTACAAGACCGACTGTTGTCTCATACTACGGTTTGCGTCCCTTCTAACCATGTTATGTGTCGAAGGAGTTCCTCGGTTTTGAGTACAGGCAAGAATCTTCACTCATGTATACGGCATAAAGAGGTCACAATAGCTACACAAAAGGACCTAGCCTCAACTGTTCGGAAGAAAAGATGGCGGAAAAAAAAAAAAAAAATTGCAAACGATGAATAAAAAGTGGCTGAAGAACAGCGTAACATGCTTCAGAGATATTGTAGCTGACGATAAAAATCAGGATATATTTCCATTATACCCTGAAAGAAGCCCGAAGGGCTACTTAGCGAGGGGTTGCGGTGTGTATATTCCCACAGAAGCGCAGTCGGATTCGAAATCACGTCAACCCATCACCCGACGAAAGCAAACACCCTCTTTCTTTTTTACGACCAGAAATCCCTTAGGCAGAAAGTCTTCGGTATTTCTTGATCTTGCACGGCACACACAAGTCTCCACCTAGGACAGAAAGATGACCTCTATGGATTCTTCAGACCCCGGCGGCCAGCGCTTAGCTACCATTGGTTGCTGGATGAAAATGGCAAAACAAGCCGTCGCACCCTGAGCGTCAATCACAGAGTATCAGCGCCTATATCACACTGTGATGAGCGTCCCGCTCGACTGATTCGTCGATGGGTTCTTGTCACTGAACTCTGAAAATAGTGCACGTTCCCTGAAGATGCAGAATCTGGTGTGTACATGGGCCGAGATAATCGTCTTCGAGCCTATCACCATTCAACATGCAGTTTTGACGCAGCAGTCCTTCACAAATCCTCAAGCCCCTTGAGGGCTGTGCCATAATTTGAGAGTGTATAACTGTACTATAGACCCGGCTTGTCTTTCCTCCAGCGCCTGTTTATCTGCGATTATCTCTTCCGTGGTGAAATTCTACAACTGTCTGACAGATTTTTGAATAGCACATAGGATACAGTGTTAGGAGAGTGAACTCGGGAAGGAGCATCCTCTTGCGATGTATAGAACTATGATCCTCAGCTATTGCGCTGTCTTCAGCCTTTTCCTGGCACACTCGGCAGCCCAGGACTACACGGACGTTCAAAATGAAGCCGGAGCATCAGGTCCATCATCAGATTCAGTGGGCATCTCATCAAAAGGGATGATCGTTCTCTGTACGATTGTTGGCGTGGTTGTGGTCATTGGGTGTTTGTTCCCCTTCCCTATCCCGATTGCTCTCTCCTCTACATGTACTGATATATTCTCATCGTGCAGTATCCTCAACAGCTCTTTTCTTCGTTGCCAAAAAGCGCCAGTGGGCGATGCGGGAGACTATTCGTCGTTCTGCGCGACAAGTCGTCCAAGCAATCAAGACGCCCTTGACTCCCAGATTCCCGAAGGTCCCTGAGCAGCTCGGAAGAACCCAAACGAAAGAAGACTGGAAGGAGACAATGGACCAGAGAGTCAATGACCTGGAGAAAGGATTCAAGGCTTCGAACTCGAGTAACTGCTCTGTCAGGGTCACTGCCGGCGAACGAGCTCAGGGCAATGAGAAGAAGACCAGAGGCTGGGGATCACGTTTCGCATTTGATGGCTCGTAGATCAGAATGCGTGGAAAATACCCCCTGATGCAAGAAGGCGCAGGCTCCTGCTGTCTTTGGTGCTTTATATGAGTTTGCTGTGCCCTTCACCTTTTCATTTGTCCTTGTTCTGTGGAGTTAGAGGCGAGAGGGATGTGCACCTTGGTTCCAATTATAACGATTCCCCTTGTTTATCTATTCAGTGCTATGGTAATGCTGAGCTCAGAGCTTTGTGGGTAGATTACTTGAACAATTCAAATAACATGAGGGCTTTTCCTCTAATGCCCCTGGACTATCAAAAGTCGAGATCTATACTCCTGAGTCTTGATTGTGGCGTCAAATATCTGGTCAAATAACTTCAGTAATTCTTCAATTAAGCCAGGATATGAGAAAGAAAAACGGTACATAATCAAGCAATAACAACAAAATAGCCAAGATTCCATGAAACATTTCAGAAACATTCACTCAAATTCAGTATCAGTATCAGTATCAATGTCGGACTCAGGCGGCGTCTTCTTGTAGGGATCATAGAATCGAATAGAGGAAGGCAATTTTTCAGTGGTCGATGCGGCCACTCTCTGCGACGCCAAGTGCATTGCATGACGCACCATGGTTCTTAGAAACGTATACACTTGGTCTAAAGCGTGGTTGTTGAATCCGAATGAATACTGTTGCCGCGCCGTTAGATGGGATAAAATGTCTTTTGGATCGGCTTACCTTAGACTCATTATCGATCCGGATAAACATCCAGTGCTGGCCATCCGTAGCAATGCCGTAGATGCATGCATCTTGGTGGATGGACTTTCGGGCTCTGTGTATTGCTCCTATCATTTTCATTAGACTTTAGGTTTAATAGACAAGCCCAGTATGCTGCTTACCCATATATGCGAGACAGCATTGTAGTTCCTCTGCGTAACGGCCCACCTCAGTTTGAAATATCACGATGCTTACCCCTGCATCTTCCTCATCGCCATGCCAGATAGTCCAGGGAGCGCGAATTTTTAGTCTCCGGAGTTTGCCATGGTATTGCACGTCAGCCACTATACCGACTTTAGGGCGTAGTGCGATTGGGGGCTCCTTTTTGTAGAACTCTTCCCGTGGAACGACTGTCATCCCAGCTTCAAGTGCAATAACTGAAGTCAGGAGGACCTTTATCTTTGCGTCTGCTAAAGGCCCTTCGACTGTCCAGAGGTAAGCCATTGTAAGAGGTGTATTTCTCCACCGCAGACACGCAAGTGCGTCAATCACGTTCCCTATACATGTTAGTATTTATGAGGAAGCATATAGTAAATTCAGGGTGACTGACTTAGGAAATCTGGTGCCTCCGTTACATCAGAATGCCATATTCTGTCCGCCTCTGCACCGGTGCAGGACCCCAACCCGAAAATATGCGCAATCCTATCGTATGGGAAACGTCTGGTTCTGAGGATCTCTACATCCTCAGTTGAAGGAGCTTTTTGCATATTTGGACTTTTCTCAGGTATCTCTGTATCTGATGATCCTGGATCAGAGTCTGCAGACCTGCGTCCACAGATAAGGGCTTTGAGCTTCCCCATCGTCGGCGAATTTTTGCGTTGTGAGAGGTTTATCAGTGGTGGACTGGTGTTGAAGACTGGGGAGCAGCTCTTTGTAAATGAAAGAATCACTTTGACGTCTTGCACGTGCAGGGAGCTAAGCCCATGTCCAGACTGCGCGAACCGTGGATCTGAAATGATCATTTGTGATGTATGCATCGACTATTATTCCATCATCAATTTTTAAGAGATAACTATTTACCTTCTACATGTTATTCGACTGTTCAAGTTTAATGTGAATAAGTATTGGCACGCCCTTTTCAGATGAACAGTGAAATGACCTTTGATCAGGTTTTCAGAACTCATCAGCTTCTCAATTCTTGAGGATAAAGATGACTGGTAGTTTATCAATGTCCTTCTCATTTTGTAGCCCTTTTTTCAGCTAGGCAGCGTTCCTTTTATCAGCTTTCTTCTGTATACACCACGGTTGAGTTCATCTACAGTCGCGCTGGTAGCCATTATTAATGCTTCAGTCTGCACAAAGTCATATTGATTCAACCTTTGTGAGAAGCATCTGAAGTTGCGATTTTACTGGACGGACGGTAAGCTGGGGACTGCTATGTCGTATTGTCTTTCGCAAATGTAGCTGATTGTCTGAACCTTGCAAAGCAAGACTTTTAGAAAAACGTCGATTAGATCGCGAGAACCACCATTAACTAAGGAATTGAGAAGCTCGAATATCGGATTGCGCAGCGGGCCTGGGAGAAGTCCACCACTTTGTCTGTCTGTAACTCTGCGCCCCTGACTTTCGGCTAATCCAGACTAGGTAAAAATTAAGTCCTCTTGCTCATTTGCGTTCTCACTTTCCTCAATCCTATCTCACTCCTCCATGAGTCCAAAGGTAGCATCATTGGCTAGTAGAGCTACCAAGAAGCCCGGGGGAACTTTGCTAGGTTTGATATCCGCGGCCGTGTCCTAGATGCTGTGGAGCAGACACCCCATAACGTCCTTGACGTAACTTCAGTGATTCAGGATATACATTTTCTTTAGAGATTCCACAAATTAGAGAAGTAAGGCTAGATTATTAGGATGAAGGGGTTCTTTGTTTGCTTCAGTGATCAATCATGACTCGAACCCCCAAAATAATCCTTAGTTGAGGTTTCACAGCAGCAGGCGCATAAAGAAATCATCCAAATATCAGGCTACTTGCATGACTTCATTCTACTTTCGTTGATGAAGTTAGGAGATGCCAATGATAATTCACTACTTAGTATAGGGCGGGCATATCCCGGAATAATCCATTTCTGTATGCTGTGACTGGTAAGCCATCCTAGTCCTTTCTTCACTGGTGTAACTCTACTAGCAAAAAGATGAATTCTTTATATCACCATCCCTATGAACCTTCACGACCATACTCTCAAGCTATTCACAACCATTTCTTTGAGATTCTCTCCTCGCAGGTATAAATACCACCTCATGATCGATCTCCCTTCTCTTCTCTCATCTCTCTCTTCTCATCACCACCTACCTCTCTTCTTCCACTTGAACTCCATTAATCTCACCTACGCCCACTCAAACATAACAACCAACCAACCACTTCAACACAATGAAGTTCTTCAACCTCATCAGTCTCTCCCTCCTGGTCGCTGTCGCCAGCGCTGCAGCTGTCCCAGAGGTCGAGGGCACCGTTACCAACGACGCAGCCACCCCTGTCAACCACCTCGACGACAAACGCGGCCACTGCGGCCAGGTCTGCCTCAACAACACGGGGTGCGGTGGTAAATGTCCCAAGTGCGACATGAAGTCTCTCACCTGCAAGAAGGCTTAGGTTTTTTTGTTTCCTTCCTTTGCATAATAAGTCACAGGCTTGTGCTAATGTTTGTTCATGTGTTGTGCAGACAGACGTTGCATGATCAACATCCAACATATGCTTTGTATGAATTGGTGGTCCCTCGTGATGGTGAGTTCCTATTTGTTTCTTGACTAATGCACTGCTGATAGACTTGCATAGACAGCTCTTGCTTCGTCTTTGGTACTGTTGCTTTGGATCGTGGAAGATCTTATCGATTGGTTGGTGGGGATTCTTTATGATTGACGACCGTGCGATGATGGCCTGACCTTGATGGTCGAGGCTTACTGTGGATAGACTCTAGATAGTCAATATCTCGCTTCATCGTTCATTGTTCCAGTGTTGATTGTAGACGTGTAGTTTTAAGCTCCATAGTATGAGTATCACGACGGCCTCTCTTAGACTTGAGGTTATTGCTGGGTAGATTCTTGACCTCAGAGTCATTTGCTACGTGATGTTAGCTTTAGTTTTTACACAATATGAATACCTTCATAGATTGAATAGAGAAGAAGGGACTTAATGGAGATGATCAAGGTGCGGCCCTAAAAGTGGAGCGGGCCACTGCGGTGGAGCCAGGCAAAGCTTTCCGACCAACGACCTCGCGATCCGCAACGAGGACTTGATGTCAAAAAATTTTCCTTTCACATTGGATTTGAAAAGAGCAAAAAGAGAAGCCGAACGCGGGGGTCGAACCCGCAACCTTGAGATTAAGAGTCTCACGCTCTACCGATTGAGCTAGCCCGGCTGGCTTCTTGAAGACCATGTTCTTAATCTACTTTATAAAGCACTCTGCAATCCATGTTTTCCCCAGACGAGTTACAAGACGACATAGTCGCGGCAGTCGTAATTGTGCACCTGACACCCTTCAGTGTCTGTGAGAGATGTCTCTTCGCCAAATTTAGTATGCCAATCCGGTAGATACATGTGTGACATCGTGAGTGAGACATCATGAGTTCGAATGGTCATTAGTGGTGGATATAAATATAGAGCCGACGCTCTGAACGTCTCTTCTCATATAGACCATTGGACGAGAATGATCCGGATCCTGAAGCATGGTACAAACTTGCGACATTTCGCGATGTCCGCGCCTATCTCAAGGCGAATCGCGCGATGTGGTCGAGAATTGCGGCTCGTGACAAGGAGAATTCGTGCAATGGCGATCGCCCTGAAAAACCAACTATAGAACTTGAACGCTCTGTTCAAACATAGTTTGGAAGAATTCAGAAGCCTAGAATACGGATTGTCAGGCAGCACGTAATCGAACTGGTCTTTTATTGCCGAGACTTGAGCTCGGCCTGTCAGATTGTGGCTGAAGTATGATAAACAGGGAAGAGAGGTACGAAGAAGCCACATATCTCAGACTAGGCGTCGCCTCTGTGGCTTGAGGCTGAACAGTAGAAATAGTCATTAGCGTCAGAAGTCGAAACAATTAAAGAGGAAGATTGAGGCTGAGAGCCTGAGGCAGTGCAACCCCTGAGGCTCGAGCGCATAATCGCGATGATCATCCCGACCAGCAAGGAACAGGACTCCCATTTGATGCATATTTCGAAACGCAAATAGCATCACTGTACTTGCTCAAAGATCAGAGGCACGGTATAGGTTACCAGTATAATGGTCTGAAACCGTCCCGCGTCTCATGAATTATTCGAGATCTAGAGAGCGGTTGCACCGCGTCAACAGGTCGCCGGCGGGCAAAGGAAGACCAATAATTCCAAGTTCACAGAACCCAAGAGCGTGTAGTGGGGATATTGTTTGGATATCGGCGATAAACCCTATGGTCATGATGATACCATTTTTATCAGCAATGAGAACAAAAGTCAATAATGATAATAGTTCTGGTAGTTGACCAAATGGTATCGCTCTAAGGGCTAGGAACACGAGAGCGTCAAGCCACAGTTGGACAGGATACTTTGCAGTATCTACACACTCCAGCTGAAAATCTGACATTTCCCTGTTGTGATCCTGACTCGAATCCTCCCCGAATCCCGAATAGGTAACCGACAACGATCGCTTTGAGTAAACCAGAACTAGAGTACTCAGTACCATCTCTAAAGTCAGTTAGATGGACTGCAAGATGCAACTATCTGCATGTCACTTGTACCTTTTCTGCAGCATCCACACCACATGGAGTCATAAATCTTGACAGATGACGGACTAGACCTCCAGTGGACATGGGGAAGGGTGATCCTGGATCCATCCCTGGATGGTCTCAAAAGGGGGGTTGACCGCCAGTTACGGCATTTAGGCCAATCACAAGACCAGAAATCAACCAACAAGCAGAAACTGTGGCCGACAGTGTTGCAGCAGACGCCCTTTTCCTGGCCAGAATTAACAATCAGAGGCTAAAAGCACTGCCTGCATGCACCAGCCACAGCAGACTGACCAGTCGCAGCGTTTTGTGGGAGCCTGAGGACCGCATCGAGTCATCCGCTCCAGGCAAACACCAGGCACTAAGAGTGGAACGGGAATAGCATCATCTGCCAGGCTGCCGTGCACACCCTCCCGCTCTCCACTCTCCCACTGTTCCACAGGCCACAAGGCGTTTTTTTGTGAACACTGCTTGTGACCAATGCCGTCATCCTATCTTTAGACCGACCCACTCCATCACTAGACCCTTTTTTGTTAGTCGCAGTCTTATATACTCGGCTTTCAACTATGGATGCCTTCTCTTCCAGGTGACTATATATCACCTCAACGTCCCTCCTCTCATTCGATATTTTTCTTGTCTGTCATTACATCAAGCATCGCTTTACTTTTGCAGTCTCTCATATCTTCTACCATCTACCAACTGCTATTACTTCTTCAGGGCTTCTCTGAATTGCATCAACTTCTACCAGCAAGAGAGCTCCAAGCAATCAATCAACCTCAACTGCCTTGATTCACCCACAGCAGTCACGCTGTCGCCCTACGACTCATCGCGTCGTTTCTTCCCACCGTCTATCCTGTCGTCCCTACGGGAACGAATCATCATCAGAAGAATCTCAACCCGCAGAGTGGTCCGCCCTCGTCGATCGTACACCATGCCCGCCTTGATCGACAGTCCAGAGCCCATCGCGCCCGTGCTGCGCGTCCGCGAGCTCGAAGATGACGAGGAATATGTCATGACCGCATTCGAGCGCCATGCCAGCCACTGCTCGCAATGCGCGGACCCCCTACGTGTCCACCAGGAGGACCGATCCCTCTGTGACCGTGGTCACCAGTACGCCCTCGACGTGGCCGAGTACCTATACAGTGAAAACGGCAAGGCCAAGTCTGTCATTGACCGCGAGTTGAGCCAGCCCACACTGGTCAAGATCCCCCGGGACTGCGTCGCTGTCCGGGGCCTTCTCCTGGCGATCGAGGATGGCATGCGTCTGCAGCGCAAGGAGCAGGGGAAGGCCCAGAGCCAGACTCAAGCCCGAGTCCAGGTTGTGGCCCCCATCATCAGCTACGATCGCACATACCCCATCGCGCCTCGCCAGGCAACCACACAGCAACCCATTGCTTGCAACGAGATCATCGAGCGCGAGCCTCGCACTCTCAAGCGTCGTCGTGTGATCGTCTACCAATCTCCACGCGGATCGTCCCGCGGCTCCCTGTACGACTCTGATGCGGCAGACCGCGTTGAGCGTTCCAAGGAATCTCCTTCGCGCATCTACCGACCAACTGGATACCATCGTTGAGTTATTATGAACTGTTTTTGAATCCACTTTCAATAACAACTATGCTTCAAACCCTCTGTGCCACGCCACACACGAAGACGAGTCAAGAACGCGCAAGTCCGCCGTCGCGAGCATTAGGGACCGACAGTCCCGACTCGCTCACACAGCCACGGAATGCTTTCTACCTGCTTGTGTTGGCATTCATGCAAGCTTGCAACGCCTTTCCGTGATTGGCCTTCCATATTTTGACCTGGAATTCTGCGAAGCTGTTTGAACTGCCTTATGCTCTGGATTTCGATTCTCTACAAGAACGGAACTATAGCTTTTGCATTAAAGCCAGAAATATGAAAAAAAGAAGGAAAACCAGAAAGCCGAGGATGTATCCTCCTTCCATTTCCTGTCCTCAATTCGAGGACTCGCAGGGACGACCTGCAAGTTTTGTGACTCAGACTTGAGCTCCTGCAAGCTGTCTTCATAGAGTCATTCCATTCGTTCGCACTGTCTGTCTCAAATGCAAGCCATTACTGTATGGCAATAATCATTGGACATGTACTTAGTCTATTTCCTTTGTACCGAATGCATGCGAATTCGCGTTGCGACTACTTCCATCATCCAATAACGTAAAGTAGACTTCCTGATGATCCTTGAAGTTTACTCGGCGCAGGACCTAGATTAAAGTGTGACTCATTAAGACCAGGCGATTTATTGGTGAGTATGGTTATGGATTAGCCTGAAATTTGTGTCAGTAGCTGCCCCCCAGGTGCATGTATACTAATTTCTTACCCCGCTGGGTTGACTGCCGCGCACTACACATGCACGTGTAGTGTACCACAATCTTATTATATGAGGCGAAGAGTCCATCATGACCCATGGGACCAGGAGCTATTTTGAAGTGCAGGTTTTATCCCATCCAAAGACTGGAAGTAGATGCCTTAGGCTTTGTCAATACCTAGATCCAGGGCAATATCGTACTAAGAATGAGCATTTACATCATGCACAGTTATATTTTCTAAAGAGACCTTCGGAGGCACATTCGATTAGTAGATACCGTAATTCGATGGATATCTCCGAGGTTGTAATACCTGCCTTTATTTCTTTCCAAACAAAAAAGAAGGTTTAAAGCTCGCGCAACCAAGCACTGTCAATGATTGATTCGTCCTGCGCAACAGTGTAACATAAGACACGGGTGAACTCGACACATATGGCCCTAGATTGTTATTGGTGTCAACAAGGATCCAGCTAGCTCTAGAAACATACTAGGCAACACGCTAGAAAGTGATGGGCACATAATGTCTATTCGCTGCGTATCATTCACTCAGTGTTACAGATGCAATCAATGTTCAGCGATCTACTTCATGTCCCTCCATTCCATGGACATTTCCCTCAGATAGAGCCTTCTGTTCTTCCAATATGTTCAGTCAAGACATATACAACCATCTTTCTCAGCTGATACAATCTCTCAAAGTACTAGGAACTCCAGAGACAAAGCCCCATTCTGAGGCAGGAGAAAATCTCGCGGCCAAAATCGGGTGATGGCGTCGTGGGTGTATGAGGGGAGGATCTCGATTGTACCGGTCGAGTTGTTGAAAGGAACTGATACGAGATTCCAGGCAGGGCATCATGACTCTCGTCGTCCAGCAGGCACAAGCTGTCTTCGTCGTACCTATGTGACAATATACAGAATTTCCACCATCTTCTTGCTGGCTTAGACAAAAACACTCTGGACAGACCTCCCATAAGCGAAGCCTCGTTGGAGTGTATTTCCCAGCTACTGGTGGTATTGTACCTTGTGTGGATCGAGACGGGGTGTCGAGTTTCAAGGACCTCGAGCAGGCTGTGGTATGCACAAATAGATTCACTGAAGATTGTAGGCTGGTTAAGGCGTTTCTCTTGTCTGTGCTGATCTTCTGCCAGAGTGGACGAAGTTCCTCATCTGTTGCGGGCTGGGTAGCCTTTGCTGGGATGTTGCTGGGATCACTAGTCTCAAGAAGTTCGTGGCAAGTCCCGAGCTTTCCCCGAGACCAGAATTCTCAAATAAGAGTCTCTCCTTTTATTGACTGGCCTCACGGCTCCTGGTCGAGGGACGTGCCTCGTTCGAATCCCAACTTCCCGCTGCGGTCCTTAAGCATGCCATACATACGTGCCTGGGGTGCGGAGGGTGTCTTTTCGACGAAGAGGACAGTGGTAGTATTGAACTGCTGAGATAAAATGTAGGTTGATGAACAGCAACCGCAATGGCTGAGGCGAGGTAAAGTTGGGACCACGCTGTGGGAGCGAAAGTTCGAACAGAACATCATGATGGCATAAATACTTGGGTAGAATGAGGCTGGACAAAGAGCGGTCGAGATGATGGAGTTAAGGCAGGGATGGGATCGCGCTGTGAGTGAGAGAGGAGTTGATAGAAAGGAGGGATTGGAAATAAAACAGAGGAATAGTGAGAGCAACATATGGTGTTTTGGTTACTCATGACAACTCATGATAATAATCACCTCTCACCACATAAACAAAAATAAAGAAATAAAGAGATCTCACCCACATAGCAGCATGGCACTAACTACAAGAACGTACTCTTTTATTATTTTCTGCGTCTGTCTACATGAGTTATGATTCCATTCTTGGATGTGTTGAAACCATACTGCCGTCGCAGCGAAGGGGGTAATAATTGTAACAGTGCAGATTGAGTTACATTATCACCTCGCATCATTCCATCCATAATCTCATCCCATTGTACCCTCCTCGTCGTACTAGCAACCTTACCGAAGGGCCTGCGAAGATATACCTCACCTTGTCTGACCTTATGAGAGACACGAATCAGCCTCGTTATCTTAGTGATCTACTATACTACTTCGTATTGCAAACAATTACGACCTCGGGTGATTCCACCGCGAGGGTAAACCGCCCTTATATCAGCAAAGTAAAACGCGTTGTATACACAGGAGGTCGGATTGTCCAAGTCGCACCACTCAGAGATCTGTAGTTGTTAGTCAAGTAATTACTTGCTATAAACTAAGTAGCTCACTCGCGAGACATAATCTGTTGATATACAACCGCCAAGTGAGGCTGTCCGTGGCGATGTCGTACACAGCACAGTTCTTCTTGCTAAGCGCACAGCGGGTATACACAAACCCTTTCATATGCATTAGTGACAAGAATTTCCTCTGTTTGAGTAGGACCTAGCTACCATATAGCCAAGAAACTGATGGCGTCCCGTCCTCACAGCTGCTAGGCGTTTGCTTTCACATGGGACCAAATTCGCGCTCATCCCTTGGGTCCATACCAGAAAGAGTAGTCGGCATCTTCTGTGATGGCAAGCTCATCCTCTTCACGGGAGAAAGTGACCTCTAGGCGTGTCTCCTCGTAAATAGAGATGCTCTTCATTATCAGACTCAAGACTGTAATTCTTTCCGCACTTCGCCCATTGCTGCAGAAAGGATCTGGTCTATGAGGGACCGTACCATAGCCTCCCCTGGCAAAGGTAAGAAACTGTCTGGAGCCAGTATTTGAGACTTTATCATGAATTTGCTGTGTCGAATACTGCGGGATCCCCATTCTTTGCTGCCATATATGTATGATTTAGACGCTTTGGGAAAGCCTGGATATGCGAGGATAGGCGCGGTGGTCAGCCTGGTTCTGATCTCCTCCCACGCTTGTCTCGCGTCCCGGATAAGCTTGTTTACGTCGAACTGGGCTGTCTCGGCCACGTATGTGCTGCATTCAGGGTTCTCTTTTGCCACACGTATCATTGCCTCGAGTCTCTCCAGATTGCATACAAATGTCAAACTCTTCCATCTAGTCACTGAAAAGTGTTACCCTCATGCCGAACTCAATAAGAATGAATATCAGTCTTACCTAGATGCTGAGGGACCGGAGGAAAGTGCTGATGCATCTCCCAAATTTTGTTCACCTTTGGGGCATTGTACAGTCAGAAGGTACTCTGGGCATTTGTGAGCCTCAAGTACATTCGGACTGTGCCGCGATCTAAAGCGGTGGCAGATATCGATCACTGTGATTTTGTCGGACGGCTTGAAGGCCTCTTCGCCAAAAGAGCTATGCAGGGTCTGCTCCATAACATCTAGGACACGGCCATAAATACCAAATCTAACAAAGTCTCTGCTGACCGGGATGCTTTGTAATATCAACCTGAAGAGGGAGGATAAGAACTGAGAATGGTGCAAGGCAGAAGATGGCAATGGCCAGGTGAGGAATTTCTGACGTAGTGGTAGTGTTGGATGTAAGGTAGTGAAGGCTGCTCCGTCAAGCTTGTGGTCCTTCCAATAAGTTCGGCTGAGTCAAAGTATGGTCTAAGTAACCAACCACTTATCGCTGGAACGACTCAACCTGAAGTCGGGGCTGGATGTTATTCAGACAAATACATGCAAGGCGAAGATGTGTTACTTCTTCCTGCCATTTGAAAGCAAAACGTTATGGAGCAAAGGCGATTGTTTAGCCGACTAGCAAACTCCTATTAGACATCGTTGTCATTTTTGTTGAGATACTATACCACTGATGAGTACACAGTTCGGACGACCTTTTTGGTCTAGTGATATTAGTTGTTGATATAGAGAGTGAAGAGTTTATTTTGCTTCTCGGATGTTTGCTATGGTCGAATGTCTGGAGCACCCCAGCAACGAGTAGCTGACCAACTCAGCATCTCACTCACACTAGCCATGCACCTCCACTTCTCGGTCGAATTGTCAGCTCTAACCGAGTCATTCATCTGAACACAGTTCATAACAGCACATAATGTACACACTGGAACATTAATCAGAGAGAGGGCAAAAATAGTATCTGCAAATTCAATCCAATGGCTCAGCAACCATCCCGTCACACCGTGGAATGGATCAAGCAGCAGCAGGCTGAAGCGGGGGTCGATGTCCGAAAGGCGCGTAAGCCACGGAAAAAAATACCGCACTGGCTGGATGACTCTGTGCGAAATGCTCCATACGCATTCGATAAACTCCCTGAGCGAGTTCCATTACCCGAGTCTCGCGATGGATCATCCACGGTCAGTGACCCTGGAGACAGAGATGCAAATGCAGCGAGGTCTTCCCTGGAGGCGATTGATCGCAACGATACCTTCATCCACCCTTGGTCTATTCCATTGCCGCCATCACCGCCGCAGTCAGTACAACGGCCGGTAGTCAAAGAACCGAAAGGGGAAAAGCCATCACCGCGGGGACCCTACTATCGCGTGCTGGACCGCGCAGAAAACGTATTCGACCACATTAAGAACGGCAATATCCGCAAGATTCCGCGCCTGGAGAGAACCTCCATCACGCTGTACGAGTACTACGACGATAATACCGCGACGAGGGCGGAGATTGAGATCGCTTCAGAGATCTCCCGCTTCCACGGCATGCGGGATGGGCTGAAAGGGCGCGTCTTTCTCGTCGAGGATCTGTCCAGGGAAACTATCCATGCCTTGGGGGAGACGTTTGGGATTACTCCCGAGTTCTTCGAGGAGCACCTGTTGAACTCGGGGTACAGTGGCGCGCGGTATGATGATCCACCGGCACGGTCTTGGAAGACGGCTCGGTTGAATAAGCCGTATGTGTCGATTCAGTGGTTTCGGCCCGTGTATCGTCGTCCACCGTTGTTTTCCAATCGCGACCGGGAAGACCTGCTTAATTTGGAGGGTGATGGACTAGAGTATATCTCCGGCGATACGAGCATTAGTCTCATAGCCGAGACAAATATATTTCGCTCCGAGTGGGATCTGCGCGTTGATCCACGCGGGACGACAAAGGAGATGAGCGAGTTTGGGTTGGTGGAACGGACGTCGATTTGGAGAAAGCAAGCCGAGAATATGGAGTATGAAACAGGTGAGCTCTTACGTTCCCTGAAAATTACTGGGAGACTGACTGGAATGGTAGTTGTCGTGTTGCTTGATCCTCTACCGACGATCAGCATCAGCCATGATTTGACACTTCTAATCCCAAAAAAGACTATGGTCGAACCTGGTGACCGTGATAATCAAGGCGCCGGAAATATCAGTGGAAGGGAAAGTCGACCAGTCCTGATAATTGAGGGTGATGATGCCGGCGAGGGTTTTGCAATTCCGATCGAAAACCCACGGCGAGAGGAGACGTCACGCCCGGTGTTGGACTGGCTGCTCAGGCGACGCAGACCAGAAGTTGATAGGAGGAAGGTCAACGTGAGCACGAGCTTCCAGGTTTTGGTCAAGCAGATGATCCCCCGAAAAACCATTACAATTGATCTGGAGGAGGCCCTTCTGACAGGCGATTCCTTGAGCACGCTCCAAGAAGAACTCAACGAGACAAGGTCCACTCGGCAAGCAATGCATGATATAGCTGGGATCAATACAGCGCCCATACATGTACTACAAATCTTGTTTCAGATCATTCGCCAAGACACCTCGACTTTGCTCGGGGTGCTCAGCCAGATCCTAAGCGACATGGAGGTCGATATCCTTGACGACACGAAGATGGAAGATCGCCTGGCATTGTGGCGGCAGCTCATCAGTAAAGCCGAGCGAGAGCTCTTGGAACTCAAAACATCAACCAAGAGCTTTGTGGCTTTCTTTGGTTTCACTTTTCCAGCCGATACCTCTGCAGCAACCTCAGACGACAATCCAGGCATTATAAGGAACGTGGCAGATCTCTTTCAGGAGATCGACCAGATGCTCACCAGACTCCGGCATGCGTCTACATCCTTGACATCCAATATGGGTCTCCTAGACAGTCGACGCTCCATCGACGAAGCGCACGCTGTCACGCGACTCACCGAACTGGCATTTCTCTTCATTCCGCTGTCGTTTTCGTCATCTATCTTTGGGATGCAGGTCGAGCCATTCAAAGACTCGGCCCCGCTGTGGAACTTCTTCGTTGTGGCAATTACTGTTACAACGTTCGCGTACCTGATGCGGCTCACAATGCGCAGCCAATGGCTGGGAAGTCTGAAGCAGAGCGTGAAGCAGGATGTTAGACGATACGCAGAGCAAAACGGTCTGCCAGTGCAAGTACGGTCTCTGTCGATGCTGCTACTGTTGCAATGGTTTGGAAGCACATTGGAGCGGAGCAGCAAATCAACCTGGTCCTGGATAGGCAGGAAGGGCCGTACGGCTGGGATCGGGTTATGGAGGGTGGTCGGGTTCCCAGTCAGTTTCACCCTGCTTATCGGCACTGTTGCAGTAGCACCTATCGCCATTCTCTGGACCCGGGATATCGACCGAGGTGTGCAGGGCGCAGTTACTTTCGTGATTATACTTGCCCTCGTAGGCCTTGTGGGTGTACCCTACTGGCGAAGGTCCGATGCCAACTTTCGCTCTGCTTTCCCGAGACTCGTTATGCGCCTGCTGAGGCGTATTCCCCCATCAACACGCTCGTTACTTCTCTGGGCCATTGGAATAGCAGGCTTTGTCGCAATTCCGCTCGCACTAATCTGGACACGTCCACTGGCGTCGGGTATCAAAGCCGGTTTGACTGCGGCCATCCTGGTTATTTTGCTACCCTTTGTCTTGTTTCTTGGATTGAGGGTCTTATTTTCTAGACCTAGGGCTGTATCTTCAGACACAGGGGAGAGTTTCGCTTCTGCTTCGTATCCGTATGCTTCCTATGCTTCATATGCGACGTCCCTCTCTGAAGCGGCAGTCAGGCAGCCTAGGAGCAGCCACTCTCAGCGTACCAATAATCCTTGATCACCTGGGAAACATCTCGTGTTACGTTGCTCTTGCTCTCAACTCGCTCAGCTCAAACATATATCAAAGTACACACCATCCAAAGTCCTATTCCTCATCAGTCAGCTTCCTAAGTATTCGAATACTCAAGATCATGATCAGCAATGCCAAGGCAACGATACCCAAGCAGACTACAGCCGCCCACCCGATAATCATCGCCGCCGTGCCCACATGGCCGTCGACGGCCCCATACGTGAGACTCTCGGACATGGTCCCGGCAGCACTACTATTAACATGCTGCCAAAAAATGGAGACCAAGCCGAACATGAAGCCCAGCGCACTCAGCCCCAGCGTAACCTGCATCACCGTCCAAGAAGGGAAGGGCTTGACCTCGCGCTCTGACCCGTCCTCGTCGATTTCTTCATGCCATCCTGGAAATGTCGCCAGGAGAATAAAGCATAGGAAGGTCAAGACCACGGCGATGAATCTGTTCATGTCAGATCATACCTCCACCTGGACATTTCCGTACGTAGACAAAGCCAGAGGAAAGAATACCGCACTTACATCAACCCATCAAAAACAATCTTTTCTTTGAAATTCTGCGCAATCCAAATAAGATTCAGTGGGTCACCAGCCCCTGTATTATTGCCCTGTATCCCCTCGGCCTTGACCATGCTCGCCAGCGCCGCCGCACTGCCAGAGCACAACCGCGCGCCGTTGCTGAGAGTCAAACAGAGACCCATATACCCGGCGCGGACTTCGCGAATCGTGCTATTGCCGTGTGAGACATTGTAGACTTTTTCTGCAATGCCTGGATTTACCAGCACGGGGTCATTGGGGCCCAGGCTCGAGGTGCTGGCATTTTTGTATTGTAGGGAAACCAGATACACGTTGCTCAGACCGTTGGAGGAGGTGCATCCGGCGAGAAGAATTGCTGGATTTGTAAGCACTGCATTCACAGGCAACCGCATAGAAGAAATGATGCAGCGCTGTGCGATGCTTACATAGAAGGATAATGGTAATTGAACAAACGATCATTATAAGATGGTGGAACCCGATCATGGGAAGCCATTTTCGAATTACAGACAGCCCCCGCGGAGGATGAAATTGTGGAGGGCCAGCTGGTCTCGTACCATCATAGTCGCTGGATCGGGAGCTCATTTTATGGGATGGTTCAATTGATGGATACAGACGTATTCGACCAATTATTGATACACGGATTATAGAATAGATGGATAAGGGAGAGTGAAGCAGAATGTGTGACACTTCATCAATGCTTATATATGCTTTTTCTTCGCTAGTTTAGCTACATGAGCTGGGAGTAAGCACGAAGGAGGGGTTGGATGATTAGATCGAATTTTTTGCTGCAGCTAAACAGCTCCTCATCTCACTAGCTGCTCAGTCACCTCACCGTTATCCTCGGACAAATCTCACGATAACCAATTCAGCCAACCCCATTTACTGCCATGCCAATGTGGAGTTGTGATTTTGGAAACTGCAATAAACCATGTGTCCGCATATATGGACAATGCATCATCTGTAATCGCCATCTCTGCGCCAAACATCTTGGCTCAGAATATCATAGCTGTCCTACTTGGGAAGTGAGAATATGTCCCATTACATACCGCATCAATTAACCATTAATTAGGATGCAGAGTCATACGACCCAATCGCTCAAGAAGCAGAGCAGAAGGAGATCACAAGACTATTAGATAAAATCAACATCCCAGCACTCCTCGCTCGAGCAAGCCATTTGCGCAATGCTATTCCCTGCTCTATACCGCAGTCGCTTCAGTATGACCATGCAAAGCGTACGACGGTAATGGGCGGCATGAACTACCATATCGAAATCCAGTTCGAAGACGGAATCAGCTGGCTGGCGCGCATTCGAAGATTCAATGCCACGTCGCCGCCGCCAGATCTTCAACGCTATATTATACGAAGCGAAGTCGCAACGCTTCAGTTTCTAAGCAAGACAAAACTCCCATCTTCAAGGGTATTTGATTATAACTTTGAGGCTGCGAATCCCATCGGCGTTGAGTATATCCTTATGGAGAAATTGCCTGGGAAGTCGCTACGGTGGTCCCTGACAACTCCAGAACAGAGGACGAAGATCATCAGTCAGCTAGCAGACATTTACATCGAACTCAAAGCATTTCCGTTTGACTTAATGGGCTCTCTAAACCATCCCGGCACCAACCACGTGGGGCCTTTTGCAAGGGAATCATTGACGGATTATGTTAACTCGCAGATGCGACCCCTTGGTCCTTTCACCTCTCGCGAAGAATACGTCGTCTCAAGCATACGATTAACTTTAGATCTCATCATCAGGGGAGAGGCATACGCTGATCGAGCGATCGATGCATTCCTGATCCACCGCTTCCTGTTGGACAGCGTTTCCAAAATTGTACCTGCTAAAGCCGAACCCAACCAGTTCTATTTGAAGCATGCAGACGACAAAGGTGATCATATCCTCATTGACGATGATTACAATATCACAGGGGTTGTCGACTGGGAATGGGCACACACAGATTCAAAAGCTGCAGCTTTCAATTCTCCGGTTATGCTTCTCCCTGTTACTGATTTCTATGGTGGGATCAACCACCCCGGGGAGGACGAACTGGCATTTGCGCAAGCATTTGAGGATAAAGGTCATCTTGATCTTGCCGAAGCTGTGAGGAACGGGCGGATCCTCCACCGGTTTGAATTCTGCTGCGGGTATGACCTTGCTGATTGGAAGGGGTTCCTTGGCCTCTTTCAGGCCCTCCGGAAAGCCATTGATGTTGATGGGGAATTGGAATGGGATGCTTGGAAAGAAAAGGCGCTGGAGATGTACAAGAATGACGCTCTCCTGAGAGGGTTGATGGAGCGGGATCATGCTTGCTAGAGCAGTATCCCTCTTGCATATGCTATATAAGAAGAGCTTGCTAAGAATCTAACATGTATGGCTATAGGGTGAGGACGACAGGGCCTCCAATCCGCTAGCCGTACTTAAGTCAGTATTATTAATGCAGCTAGAAGTGATATGTGCCCTTGAAGGCTTGCTCCTCTAGGGGGAGAGCCGCTAAGTCACAGTGTGAGTGTGGGTAAGTGAAGGTGAGCTAAGCAATGCCATGTTAAAAACCATGCTGACGCTCATGCTGCATGGACTCCATGATCTCCATCCTCTATTCTATACCAGAAGTTCACCATATTCGTTGCGTCACCCATTGACGACCATAGTCTCACCATTGTATAGATTGAGCATTTCATCCATCCTTCATGGTCTTCATCGCCTTCATCTGCTTCTGGAAACGCCTCAATAACCTTAACATACCATATGTCGATCTCCTCCACACAGCGCACGCCATGCATTTATGTTCTTCTGCTAATGGCACCTCGTTCACCAGTAACTCAAGAACCTCATCATCAATCATCATATAAACACGGTATTTATTCCAGCAGTCCCGCATACCTTGTCCTTCTACCCAAGATCCAAAATGCGAATGCACATCTTGGTAGACTTCTTGCTTGATCCAGGAATTGATAATGTCAATTGCTTTGAAATGCTGGGTCTGATTTGTATGTAGTGCGATAGACTACCCAGCCCCATGATTCTTGCCGCCGTTCACGGACGTTAGCAAGTATTTGGCAAGACTCGCGGTTCCTGCCTAGCCTGACCTGATCTAGACCAGGTATAGAGTACGTTATATCATAGAAGTGGTGGATAAAAAGTGATAGGAAGGCGGGGGATATAAGGAAACAGGAGTGGTGTGCAGCGACAAACTGCATAAAAATATATATACATATGGGGAGATTCGGGGTACAGTTGTTCCGTCTTGGCCGGTCGTCTTTTAAGAACTTCGTCCTCATTATCTATCTCTAGCTTATATTGGGCCAGAATATACATGTTAATCTGCTTGGTTTATGAGCCGCTGTAGGGTAGTGTTCTGGGACGTTAGAACTATGTAATCAACACTCCCGCCTACCGGGCGACTCTGAAACTAGGTGGAAGGATCTCTTAGATAGGCCAACAGGGACATATTGGAGTATTATAAGATTCATATAGCAGATTGAATGAAGATAAAATGACTCTTGATGGAGAGATGTCTCGTTGTTTTGTGGAAAATCAATTGTAGGACGGTCCTCATCGCTGTATGAGGGTTGCCTGTACCTATCCGACCACGGAGGACAACAATCAGGATCTGGAATGCTGTGAATAGTCCATCACAGCGCCAAATATCGGCTACGTACTGCCCTTAAGTATCCAATTAAGAAGTTATTCACTGTACCCAGGAGTACTTTTGTACATACCGGGCTAAGAATTAGAGATAGGCTTGAAGCATGTACAGACTGATGACTTTTAATTCCCTAGAGCTTCTCCTATCTGAACCTCCAGCAAATAGATTTTCTTACTCAATTGGCTCCTTATGCAGACCGTCCATTTCAGAGCTCAGGTCGGAGGCACTGTTGTATAGGCTCTGCAGGATCTGGAGGGTTTGTGTGGCAGTGTCCCCTGTTCACACGGCCGAGTAATGGCGCATCTCATTGGGTCCACTGCAGGACAAATTGTCTAGTCCGATTCGTTTGATCTTGAATAAAATCTCGCAGGGCTGTCAGCCCCCGACTCTGGCTAGGCTTGGTTTAACGACCTTTATTTTGCTGACATGTGGCCCTTAGGGAATAACCAATCCCACTCCATGCGTGTTCAGGCAATGACCAGTGAGCTATCTGGAGGGATCCGGGACTGCTCAGGGAGCGACAGGGGCACACACTTTCTCTCTTGGTCACGGTCCAGCTGGCTCAGTGAGCAAGAAGCGGCGGCACTTTGGACTGAATCCGGACACGGAAACGGACGCATTCTGCGGAAAACCAGTTTAATAGTACTGGAAGGAAAAGTCGATGCTCGGCCCCTCCAATTCCACAATGCTAGCTGAGACATTGGTGGTTGGATTTCTCCAGTCATTGATCTAGCCGAGCCATATTTCCTTTCCTTTTCTATGACTTGATAAGTCTATGACACGGGATTGGTGGAAATAGGGAAGAAGTGACAAAAATGACTACATGAACAACATTTGTTCAGCATTACATATGATTAGCAATTATTCCTGCATTTACTTAGTTAACTAGTTACCTAGTTAGTCAGGAGTCTCAGGACTCAGGACTCAGGTCCCACTACAGCTTACAAACAATAAGTGGATCACACTGTAATCAATATCAAGATTCTCACTAGTTGATCAACTAACATAGGTATTAATGATTAGCTAATAATTGGGAACCACCGACTAAGGGTATTCGACAAATAAGAGGTCAATCTGGTATATCCAGTCTCGGCTTATGGCTTGGCTTGGGGGGTCAGAGGCTTAGCAAGGCTTCTGCATCGTTCCAGGTTGAGCCCAATCCGATATAACACTTCGTCGGCCGTAACACCGACTAAAGAACCAATCCTAGTAGTAGCGAGCATCATAATGTGTCTGACACACCGGTAAAGTGTCTTTCACAGTGGGCTTGGAGGTGGATACGTCAAGAGCATTGATCTTGACCGACTCGACCCTCATCAATGATTACTGTCTCAGCTCATATCAGCTAATAATTTGATATGGCGCCTAGATTCTCTGCCGGGAAGTAATGTAGATTATGCTAGCAATAAGACATATGTGTCTTTTTTCTGGAGGACATGGAGTACAGCAAGAGCAGGCATTATATAAATAGAGACCGTACGTCCGCTATCCAGGCTTCTTGAAGGTTCAACAACAATCTCCAGCAGGAAAAGCATTCAAGGTCCAGCAATCCAAGACATCAAAATATCTTCTTACTCGTTACCATCATGCGTCTTCCGCTCTCAGCCCTCGTTCTGCTTGTGTCTGCCGAAGCCATAAGTGCAGCACCATTTCAGCCTGCTGGCTCAAAGGGTGAGGAAGTTCTGCGAATCCAGCGAAGAAATGAAAAATTGTACAGATTGTTGATTGAGATTTAGAACGCGCAGCACTGCCTGAGCCCTCGGCTTCTCCGTCACTTGTCAAGCGTTATCAAAGCTTGGAAAACGGGATGCAATTCTTTTCTGCATATGCATACGACCACACTACTGTCCAATCCGTTACCCTTTCCGAAGCCAACGATGGACAGGTGCCTCCAATCGGCCTTGTATATTCTGCTGGCTCGACTGCTGAGAGAGCCATTATGGCCACTTCTGGAACAAATGATAACAGATTTGCAACGGGTTCTTTCGAGGTTGGGGGTGTACACTTCTGGTACACAATCAATACAGCCCAGTACTGGAATGTCAATGGCCTCCTTCATCACGTTGGCACCGATGTTCTCGCCGTAATGATGGCGGATGCAATTCAGACCATGGCAGTGGAGAATAATTCGGAGCTTTCTTGGACACTCCACAACACTGATGACGACGCCAACAATGCTTATATGGGCAAAATAGTATTGGGCTGTTACTGAGGTGACGTTCCCAGCAGCTACCGTTTTGCAGAAAAACTTGAAAAATCTTCTCTCTAGCAGATTTGAGTTTATTCATGGCCAGTTTGAACCTCTTTGTGCATTGTTTCCTGGAAACGGGGCAATATTATGGTATTCAAGACATCGGACGAATTTACAATTAGCTAGTTCCCCTTTTTTTTTGTTAACCTTAACTGTCAAATCACGACTGCTGTCCTGATGACAGCAGTCATTGTCAATGCTTTTTAAGGCTACATAGATCCTTAACTGTAATTCTCAGCCTACAAATGTTAGCATGATAGCATCGTAGGTCGACCCAGAGGGTCTTAGGAAGGTACTATATAGTTCTCTTCCTAGTTGGCGATATCTAAACAACGTGACGAAGGAACTAAAAACATAGATACATCCTGTAGTGAGCGCCTCCATTACACTCCATTCGTTGTGTTCAAGCTTGATAGGCAGCGGCCAGCTCTTTCTTCGTTATAGTTAGAGGCGCAGTTTAGCCCAGAATCTACGAAACAAAAAGATATGAAAACTTACGAACTCTTCCTGTGGAAGGAACCATCGGTTATCCAAGTTAAAAATATAAATCTGGCCGTTCTCTTTCAACTGAACTATTAGTGAGACATCCGCATTACATTCCTGGCAGAATTTGACTGCCTTCTGGAACAAGGTATTTCCTCGTCGTTGGCGTTTTTGCCGTTTACTTATTAGACTGCCGACGATGGATCCTTTTAGGCTTGCCATCCTACGGAATTTTCCGCGGCAAGGACAGGTAACAGAATAGCTGGCTGATTCGTAGGCCACCTTTCACATCTCAAGCATATGCTTAGGCCCTGATATCTTATGAAGTAACGGCAAACTTCCTAAGTGCCTCTCTTTGACTGTTACTATGCATCTCACTCTCTTCACGCCTTGTGGGTTTGCAGATCCTCTCAGAGGAAGTAGGGGACATGGGAGTTACACTAAAGGCAGGTATTCAGGCTGGCAGAGACCCAGATTCTGCCTTGGAGATTGGTAGCTTAATGGTTCCCTTACAATATTACCAACTTCGATCATTAATTTGGTCGTAGCTAGCGGGAAATACAAGCTTCACTGGAAAAAACCACTGAAACAGCGACACTGTTTGGTCTCATAGATGCCATACACTCGCTGACCTTATTTGTATAAACTGCCCCAGGGGCCCGCGATCTCTTCGAGAATGACAGTAGCAGTTCCTCGATACGCACGTTCTCGTCCTCAGCCAAGCATAGTTCAGTACCTGTGAAGCTGCGTTGGTCATCATACGCGCACTTGGATCTTGTTGCAACCTATGATTCCATAACACGGTGATATCCGGGGACTGGGGTACAGGGGCCGCACACCTGCGCTTCAAGCCGATACCCCAGGGACATAGAGGAAAGTCACTGAATTGCCAAGACATTGGATGGTTGATTTCTCGGGTTGTGAGCCAGTACTTGACTCTAGCTCACGATTCAGTAATTTTGGTAATATATGTAGGGGCCGGTTAAGTCTACATTTGATCAGTTGCATTGCTCATCCGGAGAAACGGGTTTTATAGATTTCGCTGCCAGAGATCGGCCCTTATTACAGGAATGTATGAAATACGACTCAATCTTTGAATCTCCAAACATTCCACCAGGATAAGTTAACAAATCTAACTTGGGAGAACCTGCTGCAATGGAAAGATCTCTACTCATATTCAGTTTGACAAAGGAAGGTGCATAATATAAAGTTCCTCACCTATGTGAAAACAGCCTTTTTACAGTATCAGTAACTACGCCGCAGGATGTAGGTTCCTGATAGCATACACCTATCCCAGTGATTATTAATAATGCTTCCACTAATACTGATGCCTTAGTGTCACTGAACAGGCTGGAGACTATGGCCTGGCACATCTAGGACTCCAAGCTCCCGGCGCTTTATTGCAGCAGTGCAGCAGCTGCATCGCCTCGTCCGGACCAGGAAGACTGCACTAGATAAGAAATCATCAGCACTAGGACTACAGGAGCAGCCAGGTATATCTCTGGGAGAATTGACAAAAGTTGGGACTGGGAAACAGTTAATGAAAGTAGAAGTCGTAGGGCTTACATAGGGGTCCTTGTATTTTATGTTGGGATTATTTAATTACTCTCTCAGTAATCCGCAACATTCTTGTGCTACCGGCCTGTCCAACCGAGATTTTCGTACTCCATGGCAGTAGTACCGCTTAACAGCATTGGAGCTATACAATCTTAGGTAGGGACGGTCAGGTTGCATGCATGCTTGGGTCACCTACCCAGTAATGATGGCTATACATTAGACAGGGATGATAAGTGGAAAAGGGCCAGTAGTAGAGCACACCAGCCACATCACAACAGTGGCGTGCAGAATGCCTCTAACGCAGTGACTGTTCAAACTGGAATTGTCGTCCGGATGTCGTCGGATGAGGCTTCGACAGAGAGATTGGCCATTTGAGTATCCGGCTTGAGGCCATTTATGCCTGTCAGCTAAAAGTAATTGGCTCCCCTGACTCTGTTTAGTGAACTGTCTACTAATGGAACCTTTTTTTTTATCATTAACTACAAATATATTTGCTAAGAAATTGACGCGAACCAGGCAATGGCATTGACAGTTCTCAGTTTTGATTATGTGATGTCTCTTTCGTATCGAGTCCAGACCAGTCGAGATGAGTCAGTCTTCCCACCCACCTGAGAGACGCCGAGACGAAGTTCATAATAAAACCAATGATAATCCGGGCTTCAGGGGGAGGTAGTTGGTAACTGGTGTAGATTCCGTATTCATGGGAGGACAATTAGTCAAAGGCGCCTCAATCTCTCTGCATTTAACTTCAAGCTCTGCACCATTCTGACAATATTAATCACAAGAATTTGGCTGGACATTGCCAGCACGATGACTGATACGATTGAGCTCTCGGCAATCAGAGATCACCATGGGATCTCTCCACCGGATAATCTAGACGCCCCAAACCATCCACATGATGTAGGGACACAGCGGAAGAAAGTGCAGGTTATCGCTATTATGCTGGCACTCTGTGTGAGTACTTACCATGCGGTGCTCCACTAAAAATCATCATTAATCCATCTTTTCCTTAGTTGTCCCTCTTTGTCGCTGCGCTTGACCAGACAATTGTTGCGACCTCGTTACCCACGATCTCTGCCCAGCTTCATTCGGCAGATGGATACACCTGGGTAGGAGGAGCCTATCTATTGGCAAATGCGGCGGCTGCACCCATTTGGGCCAAACTCTCCGATATCTGGGGCCGCAAACCGATCCTGCTGATTACCGTTGTATGGTTCTTACTCAGCTCCATCATCTGTGCAGCGGCAGTCGATATGACGATGTTAATTGTTGGCCGAGCCCTGCAAGGCACTGCGGGGGGTGGGTTAATGCAGCTTGTCATGATTGTCGTCTCGGATCTGTTCAGCGTAAGGTGAGTGAGCTTGATATCCTCTTGCTAGAGTCGTCGACATTGGAAATCGAATCGACTGATGCCTCTCTAGACATCGAAGCCTTTATCTAGGGATTCTGGAGTTTATGTGGACCATCTCTGGCGGACTTGGACCAGTCCTCGGTGGTGTCTTTTCGGAATACGTCTCCTGGAGGTGGAATTTCTGGATCAATTTGCCAACCTGCGGGCTTGCATTTGCTTTGCTGTCCTTATTCCTAGACGTCCATAATCCTAGGACTAAGGTATGGGATGGCATCAGAGCGATTGACTGGATTGGGAGTCTCTCAGTGCTAGGTGTCACCCTTATGCTGCTTCTTGGCTTGAACTTTGGCGGAGAAACTTTTGCCTGGAGTTCTCCTCAAGTCATCTGCCTGATAGTCTTTGGGTCTCTATTCCTGATCGTCTTCTTTTATGCGGAAAAATACATTGCCAAGTACCCGCTTATGCCGCTTCATGTCCTTAAGCCCAGATCGAACCTTGCCGTGTCCTTGGTTACCTTCTTCCATGGATTTGTGAGTCATTCCTGAATGTGCCCAGTATTACGTTGGGGTAGATAGCTCACTCGGGAATGCTAACCTTTGCAGGTATTTATCGGCTGTGAATACTACCTCCCGCTCTATTTCCAGTCTGTCAAGCAGGCAAGCCCTATGCGATCCGGACTCCTAGTCCTGCCTCTTGTGCTGGCTGAAGGTCTGTTCAGCGGAGCATCGGGCTGGCTCATTCATCGGACCGGCCGATATGTTGAACAAATATGGATTGGAACTTTCCTACTCACAGTTGGAACGGGGCTATTCATTCGCCTTAACTCCACATCATCGCTGACTGAGATCGCCATTGTCCAGATCATCAGCGGAGCGGGTTCGGCTCTCCTATTTGAGCCGCCGTTGATCGCCTTGCAATCCCTGATCGCGCAGGAGGATACCGCAAGCGGGACCGCCATGCTCGGTTTCATTCGAACAATGGCCATGTCGGTCTCAATAGTCGTCGGCGGGGTGGTTTTTCAGAACAGCATAGAAGGCAAAAGGAGACTTCTGGAGCATGCCGGCCTCATTGATAGTCTAGTCAATCAATTAACTGGGGCTTCAGCTGCCGCTAGCACAGGAATCATCAAAAGCATTTCCGACCCGGAGAAAGCGGGAGTAGTTGCCGACGCGTTCTCTTCGAGCTTGCGCAATGTTTGGATCATGTATACTTGTGTTGCTGGGCTGGCTCTCATTGCAGGCGTCTTTATCAGCAAGAACCCATTAAGTGAGGAGCATACCGAGACTCGGACGGGACTGAAGGAGGAATGAGCCATGATAACAGGCCGTTTTATGCCCAGTTCCATATGATTATGACAGGGGCTATGCGCCATCTGTATGCACCAGTCCGGCTACCTTCGCCAAGCGGCATATAGATGCTCTGACGCCGGCAAGTTCGCCTGCTTGATGGCCTGTAGGTGGTCATCCTGCGACGGCGATTGAGACGGACGAAAGGTGTAAGAGGCAAGCTTCGCCGCACTCATGTGAGTGCATATTGCATGTTCGTTAAGCTGGTGGTCGTCCAATCGACAATTTAGCCCATTTTGAATCAAACATTGGCAATTAGCAGATCAACCTGCTGAGAATCCATGCCCGCTTCGATAATGCCACTGTTTGTGTCGAACCCGTCAGTATCCGTTATCTCTGCTACAGCCTTAGCCAAGGAGCCAGAAAATGCATATTTGTATTCAGATCGAGTGATAAATGCTGGCTGTCGAAGGCCCCACTGGAATTTGGGCGTCGATTTCATTCTTATAGGCCTCGATTGTTTGATGGCGCTGCACCGTGCCCTTCTCCATCCTAGCGAACGGTTTGTCGTCCTTTGTAAAAATGATATTCCCCAATGAGAGAATAAGCACGCTAATCCAAATCATCGGCTATTCTAGCTTGCTGTTTCTATAGTGATCATGCTGGCATTTACTGGAATTCACACTGGCTACTGAAGGCTATCAGAGTCATTGCGGTCATCCTCTATTTCCATGATAGTTTTGTGTCGCTCAATTCCTGTATTTGTATACCATTACTAGTACTCTCGGACGCAACTCCTTCATCATGTATAAAGGTCTAGAGCCTATGCTAGATATCTGCCGGGGCTGAAGAATAAGTGTTAGCCTTTAATACGCAATCCTTGCTTCATCTATATGACTAAATTACTGAAGATAGCTCCTATGATTCATAGATTAACACACACATTGTGTAACCAGGAGCTCCATTCTTACGTGTCACTCAGATAATATACCAGATGCATGAAATTTGCTGGCCATCTGGTACCCGGATACAAGATACAAATACCAGGAGGTATCGCAAAGAGAGAAAAGCAAAGAGCCTACACAGACCTCTATATTTTTCTTCATACACACTTTGCAGCACCTACTTTTCCCTCTACGCAACTGGCAAATCGGGATACTTCCACCTTTCCGGGATTTGTGACACTGGGGCTCGGAGATCTTCCAGTGAAATACCCCCACTATGTCTGGGGATCCCGAGGGTGTTGTCTGGTTTCCCAAATGTATGTTGGAGGCCGAACGGGGCAACCCTCAGAATTCCATTGAGGAAAGAAGAGGAATTTTCTGCAAAACTCTCTACGTTGATATAACAATCAATTCGGTTGCCGAAAGGCCAAAAATACAACACCCATGCACTGTATTCGCCGTCAATGGTGGAAACTCCTGGGATCGAGTCTCCGTTCCTATGGCAAAGACCAAGCCAGCCTCAACAGACTCAGGTCTTCCATCGGGATAACAGTAAACAGGATGACGCTACTGCAAGGCTTGACAGGGTCGGGGAAGTGCTTTGCGCCGTATCTACATGATTGCTGACTCTGGATGACAACTCCGCTGGCTAGAGGTGGGGAACATGGTCGACATACAAAAGACTAAAATATAGACACCAAACAATGCGGTAGGACTAGTTCCAATACTTGAGTCGCAAAAAAGGCCGAAACCAAAGTTCCCGGCTATTGCTGCGCCTGTCTCCGTGGCGTTTTGAGAGGAGTCATCCTCCAGCTATCTCCCATATATGATCATTTTGGTATTCTTGCAAGATACCCAGGAATCCCCTCAACATCATTCAGGTCCAGCAAATCAAATTTTGAGGTTGTGATGGGTGGTCCAATAGACAGACTGGTCCAGCCCCACGTCTAGTTGTACATACTAATCACGCCCCTGTCAGTTCTGGGCAAGGGCTTTGAGCGTCTAATGGCCCGAAACATACCACGGCCTTTGAATAGACACAAACTATCCCTACTCATCACCCAATATGATTTCCATCCTGCTCATCTCTAGTACATACGACCATAGGGTGTGGAAAACAGGGCTTCCCGTCCGCTCAGCCGTACTTAAGCCACACGCCGGCCGGTTAGTAGTTGGGTGGGTGACCACCAGCGAATCCCGGCTGTTGTATGTTTTTTGCTCACCCAGCATTTGTTAATATTGAAGTGATCAAAATCTGATCAAATTTCTTTGAAAGAGGTGTTGTGGTGGCGTAGAAGTTGAAATGAGTGGGTTTGGTGCGTGCAGTGGAAATGGATTATGATGAGCTTATATACACAAACTGTGAAGTTGGTTTGCTCATAAATGCAGCAGACAGCATCCAAGTTAGTCTTGGGTATATAATTGACTAATACAGTCAGCCCCCTACTTTCAATAACGTCAATAATTCAGCCAATCCCGCCCCAAGCAGCTCAGTTCCTGCAAGTAAGGTATGGTAGAGCCCCAAGGGAACAGCTTCACTACTGTGGCTCCTTCTTCTTTTAGCGCCTACAGCCTTAGCCAGTCAACATTGAGCTCCGTTCAACGGTCACCTCCTCATGCACTTGGATGGAGTTGACATACGGCCCTCTTGGAGAACTGACGAGCCTCTCTTCGTCCGTTTCCCTCACATGTTGAACATACGATGATGTCTCGCCGCGAGGCATATCAAATTCAGTATCTCCCAAAACGGTCGATGTCGTGGTCTCGAGATCACCCTTTCGAGGCTTTCTACCTAGGGGCTTCATGGGAATTCCCGGGTTCGACTCGCCACTCTCGTCATGCTTCTTATAACCCTCGTTGGATTCTTTGAACCGCGAACCGTGGACGATATGCCTGTACAGGGGGCGAATGGTGGGGATGCCGACGCAGATGAGTGTCGCTGCGAGCTCGACAGCTGACCAGATGATCAGATCAACTGTGTCCTCTGCGATGTGCCAAGTATGTCAGTCTATGAAGTCCCAGGGACGGCACGGGGGAGGCTACTGACCGGTGTAGTTGGAGCTTGATAGTCCGCCTAAATCAATTGTTCTGATCACACCGCAGATTCCGGCTCTGGGACAGTCAGTCAGCATCTACTGCGAGACACGGAAGGATAGCAACAAACATAAAGCCCAGACTCAAGCTAATGGCGATGACCAACTTCTCCTTCTGCTTCATGTTCAGCTTCCAGATGAAGATCCAAGGCAGGATGGCAAAGTAGAAATCCACCGCGGCACACCATGCTAGATCGGTCAGCTCAAGGTCTGATTGTCATTCATAACAGACTCTTACAGCCAAGTAATACTGAAAAGGGAACAACGTTGACGACAGTCCGCCCGGGGACGCGCGGATCATAAATGGACTTTGATGGCAGCCGCTGGGTCCAGAAGATCACGGCCGTCATGACCGAGACAATGGACAGACTGACCATTGACACCCAAATCGACACTCGATGCCACGTCTTGACCACAATGCGGAGGAGGAAAATACCCAGAGACAGCTTGGCGATTGCCATTCCCAGGACGGCAAACGTTTGCCCGACCATTTCTAAGTAAATCGCGTGCACCGCTTCGTCCATGGACAAGGTCATGATCGGTTGTCCGAATCCGTGCCGGTTGGAAATGGTGAGAAACACGGTGTATAGAAGCAGGAAGACCTGGTATCAGTCAATCAACGGAACATGCGGGAGATAATGCTATGAACGTACCCAGCCAAGGTTGTACACATGATCGTCCAGCCCTAGTGCCTGGATAATAAAGATTCTCGTGTACATGCGCAGAGGCACCAGGATGAAGGATAGTATAGTCATCGCCCACATGACGGCGATGGCTTTTGTTCCTTTATCCATTGCCATTTTGAAGTCCGGTCTTCTGAGGATAGTGTTTCTTTGACCTTGGGCGAGGGAAATGTTTGGTTCAGCTTGCTGGTTTCAAGCGGATAAATATACATGCTGTTTCGTACTTTCTACTCAAAATAGAGCGTCTGTGAGCTGTCATCCTAACGGCATGCTGGAGATCCAATAATTGATACTCTGCATTCCGAAACGAGCGCCTCGATGATCCATCAACTTGATAGATACCGGCCATTGTCATTCAATTTGGGGGATGATTGATTGTGCCCACATATCCCAGAAATCGAAAGAACCTTGATTTAGAGGCGGTCCACAGGAGAGGGTCAGGAAACTTCTTCCGAAGTCTCTTTTGTGATAGGTCCTAGCTCGTATATATTGGACCTCTTATCCCTCCAATCATGATCGGACTTGGGGCGGCAGAGTAGGTGTGATGTTCGACTAGCCCTGCAAGGTATCATCTGGCCCCCGCTCTCGGGTTGACAGGACGCACAGGGCACTTGCGGCCTGGATACCTCTGAGAGTTTCCAATCGGGTCCTTGCCATGTAGGCATCTCGTCCGATGGGACCAATCTTGAGGATCTCTCAGGAAGCCACAACGGTACTTTTTACCCTGAAGACGGCCCGTGCGGATTCAAGTTACCTATTCTGTCACGTCTGTGCATTAGTGAATGTTACCAAGGCGTTAACCGAGGATCTAGACCCCAGCTTTCAATCTGCAGTCGAAGTCTCCCCAAGCGATAAATCGCCGTAGGACGTGCGTAAATATAGTACACATCCCAGGGTGATGCCCCTGTCGATTCTGTATCAGTTTCTGTTTCATTCCCAAAAACACATTACATTGTCATCTCTCATGGATGCATTTCAGTCTGTGGCGTCCGATTACGGACGGAGAGGCCTCGTCAACCCATTTTTGGGAGCTCTATGGGCTGCTCTCATTGTCTGGTATCTGGTGACGTATCTCATCTCCCCTCTGCGCCGCTTCCCCGGTCCAATTCTCGCAGGTATGTGAGGTATACCCCGGTTCCTTTGCAACAGCTCTAATAGATGTACTTGTGACAGGATGGACCAACCTCTGGCGGATATACCACGTCCGAAAGGGAAAAGTGCATATCATTACCACTGAATTGCACAAAAAGTACGGTCCAGTTGTTCGGATCGCGCCCAATGTGGTCGACTTGGATATGCCCGAGTTGATCCGCACCATATACAGCACCCGCGGCGACTACCGCAAAACCGAGTTCTACCATGGAAGTAGTGCGAAGAACAACGGCAAGATTATTTATAATCTCTTCAGCGAGTGTGATCCGCAGGTGCACGCGCAGCAGAAGCGGCCAATTGCAAAGCATTACTCCATGTCGGGTGTGTTGCCCCTGGAGCCTCATATCGATGAGACGATTGGTTTCCTGTGTCGGAGACTGGAGGAGGAGTTTATTGATGGACCGAAAGCTGGAAGCCTTTGTGACATTGGCCAATGGCTACTCTACTGTGAGTGAGGCATCCTAGTCACTAGTGTACTTGCTTATTTGTGTGGGTTATAGATACCTGGGACGTGGTAGGAAAAGTCACCTTCAGTGAACCCATCGGGTACCTCGAAAAGGGCTATGACTTCGACCACACCATCGCCATTTCCGACAAGGCCATGGATTACTTTGCGTTGGTGAGTCAACTGCCCATTCTCGACCACCTCCTGGACAAGAACCCCATCTACCGGATCGGCCCGCCGTCGTTCGGGAACATCACCAACATCTCCATCCAACACCTCGTCGACCGCCTCCAGGGCAAAGATACAGCATACCACGACCCAAGCAAGCCAGACTTCCTCGATAAGTTCATCGAAGCAAAAGCCACGTTCCCCAATGTGGTCGACGACGCCCAGATCATCTCCTACCTGATGATCAACATGATCGCCGGCGCAGACACCACCGCCATCACCCTCAATGCGGCGCTGTACTTTGCGCTCAAGAACCCGGCCGTGTGGAAACGACTGCAGGACGAGACTTCATCTCTCCATTCCGAGGGATCAACAATCGTACCATTCAAAACCGCGCAGGATCTACCCTACCTCAACGCCGTAATCCGCGAGGCCATGCGCATGCACCCCGGCGTCGCCATGTGTCTGGAGCGCTACGTCCCAGACGAAGGCCTCACCCTCCCAGACGGACAGTTTATTCCCGGAGGATGCATCGTCGGCATGAACCCCTACGTACTCGCCCGCAACCAATCCGTCTGGGGCGAGGACGCCGAATCCTTCCGGCCGGAGCGGTGGCTTCGCGACAACACCCGCGAAACCGAGGAGGTCTACCAGGAGCGCCTCAAGCGGATGAATGCTGCGGACCTGACCTTTGGTGCGGGGAGCCGGGTGTGTATTGGTCGGAACTTGGGGATGATGGAGGTGTACAAGGTCCTGGCCACGCTGATCTCGAGGTATGAGGTTGAATTGGCGGATCCGATGCGGGAATGGAAGACGCATAATAGCTTTTTTGTTCGTCAGGAGGGGATTGAGGTGAGGCTTCGTCGGCGGAGCACTTAGTCAGATCAGTATCTATGTTTAATGATTATTGTCTGCGTTTAATGTGATTATGTGATTTAATGAAGAGGATCCTAATGCTGATATCATTCATATAGTTGTTAGGTGGCAGTGACCGATGTTCATGTACAGAGATATGTTCAACTATCATAAATACCCAGGAATATTAAAGCAATAAAAAGATCTCAAGCCGTATCCGTCCTGTCTATCAGCTCAACCTCTAGACTCGATTCCTCGCCAGTATGCTGAAAAGCGGCATCTCTCCAAACATTCACAACACATTCCTCTGGTGCATATTCAGCTGGAGCTGTCCATATTGCTGTTGCTGCTTTTCCCTTTACCTCGTATACAAACCCGTGACTTACCAAAGGAGCAAAGCACTTCAAATCCATACATTGCAGCCGCGGCATGCGCTGCGCTGCCCTTCCAGCCGAGATATAGAATTGCTGGAGAAGTCCCACTGATGCTTTTGCACGGTACCTTGGATACCGGTTCTGACGAAGCGGCCGTACAGCACCCCCTTCCTCTACTTCCTCAATAGGACCTATTTCAAAATACCACTCTCCGGAAGGACTTGTGTCCCGATACTCGAGGCGGAATGTTGTTAAATTTGGCCAAAATGGGAGCCGTGAATTCTCGTCGGTAGTAGCAGGCCAGAATAACTCTTTCCCCACAACAGCGTATTGCAGAGAGAGGGATGTAAGCTGTTGTGAAAAACCCCGTAACTGAGCGCTGAAGAGGTCGTCCATTCTCCCTCGAACGAGGTCAATTGGGTCGAAAACCTCACATCCGGGTGCCTCATTGTAGAATACAAGGTCAAATCGTTGCACTGATTGTGGCAAGAGATGAAACGAGTTCGCAAACTCTGTGAGGGGGTCAGCTTGATATTTATGCAAGGCGATGATTCTTACCAGCCCGGTTATGCTTGCGAAGGTCTTGATCTCGTTTTTCATTATCCCGGAGGTTCAGTACCAAATTCTGTAACCGTGGCATCTTTGACGCAATGACAGAGGTTGCTGAGGGCCTAATCAACCGTTCATATCTCGACCCCCCGTAGATAGTAAGTGTAGTCACTGCCGTTACAGGCGGAATCCTCTTCAGGCTTTCCTCAGAGACATGGAGATAAGATCTTTCAAATCTCAAGTCTAGTTGGTCCAGCTCTGGCGTATCACGATCTGCTTCTCGTCGTGGTCTTTCCCGCCTGCTGCCGTAGATAGTGGACTGTGCCTGAATGAATAGTTCAATTCCTCTGTGGTTCTCTGGCCAGGTTGCTAAAAGTCGGAGAATATCTTGTATCGTCCGGACAAAAAGCTTATTATTGTGACTGTGCTCGGCAGCTGTCTCCAAGTAGGCACGCGCTCTTATATTGTATGGCTGAAGTTGGATAATGAGATGAATTTCCCGAACATATTTCTGTCTTTGCTTATTGCTAGCAACAACTTGGGAGAGTTCCTTGAGTCGCTGGGGGGTGTTCAGCTTAAGGATTGCAAACGTGCGCTGCTCAATGCAGGCCTGCCACTCCCGGCTAACTGTTGCATATTGAATCAGACTGGAGTTGGTGGAGACATCGAGGTAAGAAATGACCAGGGAGATGATTTCCAAGGGCAGCCAATATTGCCCCATGATGGACCTCAGGATAGGCAGGTGTATTGTTTGATTGGGTCCAGGTCAAAGACGGAGGAATGATGTGAGATCAAGTCGACTTGTATTGACCAGAACTATTAAGTCTAAGCGCTCTCTAACGAGACCCCGGGTGAACCTTTGCCCGCCCGTTTAGCGACGAATATTCGTGTTGGTTGACCTCTTCTTCCCGGAGACCCGGACGAATCGGCTGTTGACCACAAAGGTATCAATATCAGTCTGTTGGTACCTGCGCAAAGATGATCTCTAAGCCCCATCTTTGGGTCGCCTGGGGTATTATAATGATGGAGGAATATGTCTCGACCATTAGAATGGACATCATTGAAAAACGTACGCTTAGAGTCTAGACCCCAGAAGATTGGAAAGGGATGAGATTTAGTAGAGGCCATACTGAGCGCAGCTGGCATCGCCGTGTTCAAGACGATGTCCATACAAGTATACACCCCTGGAAATCCCGGGCAAGATATTTGGGGGGTGTGAAAGAGCAGCGCGTTGATGGACATTTTTATTTAATATTGGTATTCCACAGGGATACTTCCAACAATCCTGCTGTTGATCAGGCCATGCATTACCACCAAGGAGAGTAACAATGACTATTTCTCTGAGACCTGGAGGCCCTGCGTCTATAACGAGCTGCCCTTAATATTGGGCCATGCGGCCATGACCGCCGCCGACGTGGATTATCCCCCGATTCCCTCAGAGCCGGTTTGGACTATTGTGGCAGAGGGTTTTCCACACCCAGATCCAGACACTAACATATCGAACAATCCTGGTGCAATAAGTACAAGATCACTCAATGGTTGGAGCTATATTCCAAAGAGTATTACATTTGTTGCCTTTTCCTTTATATGACTAGTCCGACGCGTAATCAAGTAACCCAATTCTAGGCTACTCAATCCTCATCCCTGCATTATGTTCCATAGCATCTTTCCCCTCCACAACTAGAGGAAGGAGCATCTCTGAGCCTTTTTTTGTCTTCACGAACACTGATGCATTAAGCCTCGCTCAAGAGTAGTCCTTCCGTCTCTGTCCTAAGTTTCCGTTGTAAGCACCACAGCTATACGTTAGTCCATTGTAGGCCAATCATCTCCTGTTAGCCATTTAGGTGTGGTAGACCGCTAGTCAGTCTCCGAAGGAGGCCATGTATGCTAGTAATCTCAAAATCTCAAGGTCAGGAGAAGCAGGAATGTACTCCGTGTCGAACTGGGAAAGAATTTGCTTGATACATGATCCTGGCTCGCAAATACCCCACATCGTCCGTCTTTTTTGGTTAGCTACATCTCAAGTACTTAGACATCTTTTACTTCCAGAAACGGTGCTTCAGTCTGTGCTCCTATATGTGCATATGCTCGATTGCATCCTTAGCCTTCGTTTAAACTAGAGAAACCAATCTTAGCCAAGAAAATAAGTAGAACTACCCCTCTTCCAAGCAGCGCTAACTCCATCAGAGACGGCGGTGTCTACGAACCATATAACTAGCCGAGCAGAAGTAATGCTTTTTGACGCTGTGCCACTTGAGCTAGTCTCTTAATTTTTACTCCGCATTACCATCCCAGTAGAGATAGTTATAATCCTACTTGGCTCCTTGGGTTAGTGTATGGACTAATATGATAACGCAGGAACCTAACTAAATAAGGAATATATAGAAGCCAATAGTAGTTAGCTAAGTCATCGGCAGCTCGGCCCGCAACTATATTCTGCTACATTAGACCCTGCATTATATCATGGGTGGCTCCAAAGCTTCCATTTAGGGTGTTTGCTCACTTATGTTCTAGCCATTCAGAATGCAAGCAAGAGCGAAGGTCGAAGCAGCAGTTAATACCAAGTTCATATTATAGGATTGTAAGTCATATAGGACTACTACCACATGTATCTCCAAGGGATAAAAGCATCCTTATTACGACAAGGGTCATACTGTGTATAAAAAGGCTTCATGGTTCTCTGAAATGATCTGAAATGATAAGTTGAATCCCATCATCTAGTCGTCCTTCAAATTCAGTCTCACACAAGTGTCCAAGTCTTCTCTACTATCTCTTCTCTCACAATGAGGTCCCAATCTTTGCTAGTGATTTCCTTTATGACTTTGTTCACATATGTGACTGCGACATCCTGCTGTTCATATGGCTGCAATGGCCCCGTTATAAGCTGCTGGTATTGCAGCAATCAAAGATGTGGCGGATGCTTCCAGTGTCTTCCTGCTGCCTTGTTCGATGAGGCTTTGAGGGTGAATGGCTCCGGTGAGTTACTGAGGTCCACCTGTGCCAAGGTCAGCTAAATGATGAGCTAATAATGTAGACACTCCTGGATATACAGTTACTCTTTGAACGGCTTGTCGCTGCTGGTTCCTGGAGAGCGATCGGGGACGCTGGTGGGACTTTAGCAGGAGGAGACTGCAATGGGCACTGTTGACGACCTGAGCTTTGAAACGGAGGCAGGAAATCTAAACAGTCATTCGACACTCTTTGATGATATGTTATAGTGACTTCTTGATGTGCAAACTTGGATAATCAACGCTCTACCGGTTTTGAGGATGCTGGGTATATCAATAAGGCCGTAAAGCATCCAGAACACTTCTGTTACCATTCCTATAGCACTGCTGGTAGGGTGCTACATTTATAGTCTTCGCTGACGTTACAAAATACGGTTAGCATAACTTTGCAAAGCCAGACTATGCCTATTGTCAGCTTTAATGACTTCCATAGAATGTGAAATAACTGAATGGATCAACGAGGGAGCATTCCTCCATTGTCCGAGACGGGAACAAAGAGGGAAGAGGTGCCCGACAAGAATGAAGTGATGACAGCAGATGGAAGCTGGAGAGTGATCGTGGTGGGAGGAAGATGAGAGGAAAAGACACAGGTCATGTAACCGTTAGGTACGCATCTCCCGTGAAGTCAGTAGATTCATTATCTTATAAGGAGGCATTCCTAATTTAGACATCCAGGACCTATCTTACCTCCTCAATATCAATGCTGGGTATTAATGTTATTGGTGTCCGGATACTTGAACTTGTTCGGATGAACTGCATGACTTATTCGGCAGTGGACGATTAGGGTCATGGGGATTCTCCAACATAGCTACAATACGGTGCACCGTACTCGATTGACGAGAAATCCTGGAGAGATGACTGCGACACCAACCAAGGCGGACCTCTGCAGCGTCTCGAGAAAGTTGTACAGCTTGGTTCGGGAAGAGCTGGCTCTTCCCCTGCGCAAAGGCTATGAAGAGCATGCAACAGCGAATCGACACGAAGCTGCAGCAAAATCGACTATTGGCTCGCAGGTGAGCCATGGTATATGCTGCTTCGCGGGAGGGAGGTTGAGGAATGTCTTGTTGGACTGTGGGGAATTCGAGCAGGAGAATTGATCTACTATTACTTACAATTTGAATAAACACGACAAGTAAATGAATGTAATCCACGCTGTTTTCTATTGCATTCTGATAGCTAAAACCTCCACCTGATCTTTTCCAGTTGTGGAACAGTCATTGTCGGATCGTATGGGAAGCGAAGACTTTGCGGTCTCAGCGCCAGACCATAGACGCCGAGGTATTGGGTACTCCAAGGTGTAGGGCTTTTGGTGACGTACTTATCACCGAAAGGCTCGAATTGGGTGTTGATCTTCCTGTATGAGAGATGAATTAGTGATGATCCTAAACTATCGTAGAAAGCAGCAAATATACAAGGAGTTGGTACTCGAATCCCAGTAGATGTCTCGTAACGTTGCCAAGCCACATAGGACCCCCTTTGCAGTGATGTCACTGTTTGAAGGAATTAGTCTTGGCTTCAGTGGATTAGTGCGGACATACTTGTAGGCAGCTTCAAATTGAGTTCTAATCTCATCTCGGGTGGGTCTATCCAGGTTCTTCCAAAACTCCCCGTCAGGAACGAGGAACGTGAGTTGGTTTTCATATTCGTACCGGGAGCCCTCTATAGCAAGTGGGATTCCAGGGACGGCCGTAGCGAGCAAATAGACGCTCCAGCCGCGTGGAACAAGTCCGTCCTCCTCTTGGACATCCACTTTATGCTCCAGAAGCTTAGGTGTGAACTTGCAGTCACGAAGGCGCCGAAGAGCCTCGATATATCCCTCCAAGTCTTCTGGGATGTTGGCAGAGGCTTGAGTGCCGCGAACACTTGAGGGGCGGAACTCTGTACCGCTGTAAGGGACTTGGATATGGATCTTCATAAGGGCTTCCTGGGCAGGGTTCTCGAGATTCTGGCATTTAAAGGTCGCACCAGCACTCGGGGTAGCTTCGTATTCATCGGCGTCTTTTTTGGAAAGACGGTAGGAGTGTTCTGTGAGTTTTTCCCTTAGTGTCCATGAGGAACCAGCGTCCGGAAAGTCAATGCGCTTCCCAACCCATACACTTTTGGGGAAATACTCGAGTTCCATGATAGCGTGAGGATTTGCAAAAACGATGTGAGCGGGGACAAGGGATGATGATGGATGTGAGGTGGATGGATGATGGGGGAAGGAAGACTGTGTGAGAGGGAAGAAGGATGATTGATGTTGTATGGAAGGAAGATGAATCATGAACCACGGATCTTCTGTTCTTTGTGGAAGGAATCTGCCTCAGGCAGCAAGATATATACTTCTGTCAGAACCAGCATAATCAGCCTACGAACCCTTGCAACGCTAGCAAAGGGGCAGCTAGCATTAGTCACAGGGACCATACGGATAATGTACCCTGTAGAATCAACTCAGGCTCTTGTGTTCAGATCGCAACTGCCAGCCGGAGACGTTTAACAGAACTAGTTCATCTTACCAGTCTCTTTCACATGCTAAAGCTAATGGTTTGGTGCATGCAACAGATCCGATGATCGAATCAGTCAGGGGGTCGCTGGCATAGACAATTCCTTCAGAATAGTCAAACTTCACAACAGAGCTTCAGTGCACCCAGTAATCATACTTCGTTATGGGATCAAGTTTTCCTTAATACTGAAGCACTATTCTCTGGTGCAACTGAAGGACATGCTCTGTACTGGGATCAGGACTTTATTTTCTTCAGGCAAACAGATAACTACGACACAACACAAGCCAGGTTGTCTTACTGGGACGACAATTTGAATTGAATTGATAACTATGCGTCAGCTGCGAGGTCAGCACCCCTATATTGTGCGGCTTCTTCAGGCTCACCTTCATGAACTCATCTTTCATTTTCACACAAATGTTTGGGACCTCATGCTCGGTGTATTTCTCGTGCTTCTGTATCAGTGGTGATTCCAGAACTGAGGCCGCAGCTTTCTTGGAGACGACTTGCGGCATCGAGCTCTTTATGATAACGTAACCAGGGCCCCTTGCCATATTACCGACGTTTAGTTGTGTATGTCCAAGGCGAGCAATATATGTACGTCGGAGCGGAAGCAGCAATAGAGCCTGCTTATATACCACCTACCCCCTAGGCCGCAGCCCCCATAACATACCTTTAGGTATTCTGTGGCCTCTTAAAGGGCCATTCTATTACCTTTCTTCCTCTGGGCATTCCTAGGAAATACTTATTTGCTGTTTCTTTAACCTCTGATTATTGTTCTGATCTCAACAGTTAAAATCTGTTGGTCCTACTTCTTTATTTGGGCCATGCTGGAGGAGGCAGAAGTATGGGAATAAATAGATGATTACTATAGAAGGGGTATAGTATACACTGTATCCAGCCTGCCGCCTTTACTAAATCTATCTATGTCTCTGACAGCCTTCTCTTGCAGTTATTGAAAGTCAAAACACTGTCTTGATCTATATAAGGCATAATACTGCCATGAACTGGAAATACTGTCTAAAGCGCCTCTGCTTATGGGAGGACTGTCTAGCCTGGCAATAGGCAATAGACTACTGGTTTGTAGCTACCTGCAGCTGATGAAATTAAGGAATGATCCCTCTGTGGCTGCCCAGGCATTTATAGACTTTGATCTCGTGTGCCAACAGGGCAAACATGTACTGGAAGCAATAGTTAGTTAACTACTAGGAGGTGAGTCATGCTGAGAAAGGCCACATCAGCATAGCAGACTTGGCGGGTGCAGTTTAGAGGCGTGGTGATATCTGGAATATACAATGTCTGCCTACGCGATTTGATTCTATCCCAATGCACATCTAGATGGCGTGATCTAAGGAGCTTATACCTACTATTCATGCTCGAGATCTGTGAGCTCCATGTTATTTGATAGTGATATAAGCCTATTAATACGCGATATCCGCAGATGCCTCTCTCTGTCATCCGATATACTGTTAATCAAGAGAATCAAAGTACTTTCATCCTTTCATAAAAGCAATGTCAGTTCAGGCAAACCAGATAGGGTCTTCAACTGGCTGTGCTCTTGTCAAACAAATTGTGAATCAATATAGCTATCTGGGGGAGGAAGGTCTCAGCTAAATAGATCCCTTGGACCTCAACTATGGCGTACCATTTGTAGTGGAAACCAAGAGTTTTACTTTGCTAATTGTAAAATATATATTCGCCCGGTTGTGTTCATCGTCGCTGACTACCTCCAGCAGCGAAGTCCCCAAGCCGAATCGCCTACTTACAGAGTGCCATAGCGAGCTGGCCCTTGGAGGCTTTGACAGCAACAATTTATATGTTACTTTGGAGTGAGGCTTGGTACACTTTTAGGTCAGAGGAGAGAGGGGAGTCACTTGACATAAAGCCAACACTCATGCAGTGCTATGTGCCTGATTACTCACTCCCACACCGTAAGCCGTCTCAAAATCCCATCCACCCCGCCGCCAGATGATGAAATTGACTTTCCCACACTTCCTGTCTCTTTGCGCCGCTGCACTAGCCGTCCTTCTTAACGCCAGCCCTGCGCAGCAAAATCTCTCATTAGCATGGGCATCATGCTTAAACAAGATAAGGTCCCCATTCACAGTGATGCTATATACGACACCGTACCAAAAGATGATCAGCTATTGAAGGTTGAGTTCCTTGAGGTTGCCCCGACGCCTATTGTCGCGTAAGATCGCCTCCTTGATGTGCCGCTGGAATGATAATGTTTTGACATTCCGAAGCGACCGCGTCTTCTTTGTCTACCTGCGCGGCTATCTACCCAAGGAGCCAGCACTTCTTGAGGAGGGCCTCGTCGATGCAACCCTCTCTGTGAGCGGCTCTGTTGTCTACCTGGATGGTAGCTACATGGAACCAAGGTCCCTTACAATACCATTAAAAACTATTTCCATCAACGATGCAGCCCATTTCGTCACTCGCGACTCCAATGGCACTCAGGTTGATTACATACCAAGCAGCGGCCGCAGCGACGTATTACTAGATTTCCAGATTCCCACTATGTTTTCGAGGAGCGGTATATGAATATTCAAGGTCGATGCTACTTAGTTAAGTTACTAACCAAGTTAAGATCCATGCTTACATAACGGTCAGCCTGATCAAGAAGCTGAACCTCTTAGTTAATATAGTTATGTAGCTTCTCATTAGTATCGCCCCCGCGCCCCCCTCATTGCTCTTGAACACCCACCGACTGCTCGTCCCATACTATAATACCATGTCTGGCGCCGAAGCGCTTACAGTCTTTGGCCTTGTGTGCAACGTCATGCAGGTGATTGGTTTTGTGCAAGATGGAGCCCATTTGGCCAAAGCTATCTACAAATACGGATCTCTGGACCCTAACCTCGCACAGACAAGCGATTACATAAAAGAAGGCTTGGAGAGATTGAGGGATTCGTTGGAGAAGGGAAGACCTCTCGTTCAAGATGAGAAGGAGCTGCTAGACATTGCGAAAGGCAGTCTAAAGACCGCAGAGGAGCTAAAGGTCGAGCTAGACAATATCGCAGGCACAGCAGCCAAGGGAAAGCATTCGGCTGCCTTCCGTGGATGGCTCAAAGCCGCCCTGGGTGGAAAAAGGAGGAAGATCGAGAGACTGGAGAAGGTGATGCATGATCGGCAACAGGTTCTAGAGAGTCGACTTATAGCTCGCATCTGGTAGTTACACGCCCATGTCCGACATTGTCGTGATAAATTCTTTACTGACACAGTCTACAGCAGCCAGAACGATGCACTCCTTCTTGAACAACAAGTAAATTTTAACAGTCTTGACCGGGCATTACAAGGCTTCATTGAATGCTGTGCCCGCAACCAGACGACTCTTGACCAGCTCATTCAGAGAGGGTTTCTAACTATGACGACACATATCGATAGTAAGCTAGGAGCTCTCGAGCAGTCGGTTGAAACCAGCCTTTCCTCCGGTAGAAGCCAGCTCCAGGACAACATATTGTCTCGTTTACAAGAGCTTACACACAACCGGATTGAAAAAGAAGAGCATGAGAGGCTGTTGGGAAGCTTGCATTATGAAACAATGAAGGCTCGGCGGAACCATATTATAGCAAATCACGACGATACCTTTTCCTGGATCTTCCATCCTCAGCGTAGCAATAGCGATGCTAATAACCAGGTATAGGAGGAGCGGCTTACTTCATACTTATGTGATTATCATGCTGACTCTCTTACGTAGGATGGATTTGTGGAATGGCTGCAATTTTCTAGACAACGTCTATTCTGGATCAATGGCAAAGCAGGCTCGGGAAAAAGCGTCCTAATGAAGTTTTTGGTCGACAATCCGCGCACCCAGTCCATCCTTAATGATGCAAACGGAACCACCATCGTCTTGTCCCATTTCCTATGGTTTGCAGGGAAGCCACTTGAACGAAATATGAAAGGGCTCCTTTGCTCTTTGATTTACCAGCTTTTAGACACAAAGCCAGATATCTGTCGGGTTGTCTTGGAGAAGGTTCCCACCTCAAGACGGAAGAGATTTCCCGGTGATTGGTCCACCAATGAACTCTTTGCTGTTTTTGTTGATGTGGTTCCGGCCTGTGGACAGCATTTTTGCATCTTCCTGGACGGTGTTGATGAAATGGACGACTACATGGCTCTGTTCGGCCTTCTGGATCAATTGTGTTCGCTACCGCGGCTGCAGGTCTGCGTCTCGAGCCGACCAGAGCCTGCGTTGCAACGACGCTTTCATAGATACCCCCAGTTTCGGGTGCAGGATTTGACCCGACTTGACATCGAAAAGTACGCCCACGATACTTTGCAAAGGTTATACGTCGAGGACGCAGAGACCATTAGTCGCCTGGTGTCCACCATCTGTTCCAAGGCGGACGGGGTATTCCTATGGGTTGCTTTGGCCCTGCGGAGCATTCAAACAGGGCACGACAACCACGACAGCCCGGCCGAGCTGGAAGAACAGCGTCTGAATTCGCTTCCCAACGATCTCAACACGCTCTATCAACAGATGTGGCGGCGGCTCAACGACAGCGAGGCTGTATATCTGGAAACAGCCGCTCGGTATTTCAACCTCATGTTGGAATGTGTAGGCGACCTTAATCTCACCCAAACAGCGAGTCCGTTGCTATTTGCTCTAGCACTGCAACCGGGGCTGGCAGCCGCGGTCGTGACAGAGGATATCGAATCCTGGGAGGAGGCACTAGACAGAGAATGCGAGATGATATCGAAGCGGTTGCCGATCCGGTGTGCGGGCTTACTGGAAGTGACTACGGATGGGACTGTGACGCTCATACATCGGTCCGCCCAGGAATTTCTCATGAACACGCCAGAGGGTCAACGCATACGCCGCGCAGACCCATCACCACGCGAAGCCCGCCGTCTGAATCTCATGCGGGGATTACTTGGCTGCTGCAAGCTGGAGATAGAGGCGAAGGCACAGACACTCCCTCCCCGTATCCTCAACCTCTGCCAACCCCTCGGTCGCAAGTACACAATTGCGAGTATGTTCTTTGGATCGTGCCGCGACAATTTATCTCCAGAAAGTGCCCACGAACTGCTCAGCCTAGCACAAGCGCTCTATTCAATGGGGGAATGGGTCTTTGATAATTCCTTCTACCTGCACCCGGATTTCATCGGCGCCGTCGCCCGCGCGGGTTTCTTTACCCAGGCACGAGCCGGATTTGCCCAGCTCGCTGGCGATGCTCCCCACGGCAAGAGGATTTCGACGAGGTATCAGGCATATATCCTGGAATCTGTGTTTGATGCAGTAAAGTGGGGCCAAATCACGTCCGCCCAGGATCTTGCTTTCCTTCGCGCGCTTGGCAACACCTCCTCCATCCGATACGCCGGGCTTAGGACTATCGACTTTCATCAATCACTTGTTGAAACGGTTGGAGACCTAGTCCCTCCATTTTATCTCACCGGCGATCCATTGGAGATTCTCCTGGAAGCGTCGCTTGATGACGACTTGCCGGGAAGATACAACTCTCTGGATCTTATGATCAGTCTTCTCGAAGGGGGCTATAATCCCTCCAACCGGAGAGTCATCTTACTCGATGCCTCCGCCCCCGAGTTGTCAGACATATTCAGATATCGAGACTTCGCCTATCCAGAATTCTTCCAAGGAGGGACGCTGCTTATTGAAGTGAATACATCCTTTCTTTTAACCCTGTTCGTACGGCTGCTAGCTAGCCAGCAGTCACTCTTCCCGTATGTCGATTTCCCCGCGTTATTTGAAAGACTGAAGACCGTGGTGGAAGACTTGACTACATTGCCAGTTTCACGACTGCGTGCCTTTGTTCCAGAGTATACCAGAGCTGATGGTATGCACCCTGAGAACAGCCCTGCCGAGGAGGATTTCCAGGATGTTCATGGCGGATATGGAGACTCCGAGGATGAGCAGTCTGACGAGGAAGATCTTGTGCTCAAGGAAGATTCCGACTGTGATTATTACGAGAGGAACGAGTCGGAACGGAGAGCTTGGGCCAGTTCCACGGACGTACTCATCCCTTGTCCCGCCGACGATAGCAATGCTGTTCATACCGCCCTTTCCGGCGATATCTTCACCTCCATTGCACTTGGGACGGACGGCTGCCTGCTCGGGAAGCTGGATATCCCCGACTTTGAGTCCAGGCTTCGGCAGATCTTGTCAAATGCCAGACGTTCTACGGTGCAGGAGCTGGAAAAAGACTTGATCCGGGATGAGCTTCTGGTGCCATGGAGCCTCGGGCCGGACTTCTGGCCGCCCAAAGAGGTTTATTCTGATTGCGATGAGGTTGAGGCGTGAGATGGATTTCTCACAAGCGTCTACTCAGCTGCAGCAGCCAAAGTCGTCTATCAAACTATGCTGAAATAAGATCCGCAGGCGGACGAAGCTGTTGCGAGAGGTGTGCATGCGGCTGTGATGCAACTCAAGAAGCTCGGAAGAATAACGATGCCTTTTGACATGGTCCAGGACATTGCTCGTAAGCGGTCCTATATTGATGTCAATGAGCTCTTCTGGGCATCATACATACATATAGGACCATATTTTCTGCTTCAACTTGCCAAGACATTGTGCGATTGAGAGTACTTGCATTAAATAGAGATCATGAAATACAACATGGCAGGGGTGCCCAGATAGTTGAATCAGCGCCTGCATCCTAAGAGTTTTATAACTATTCCTGAACCACAGAGCAAATTAGTAACAGAACATAATCAGAGTTCATAAAGATACAGTGGGGCAGGTTTTAGACTATCACAGTAGATAATAGCCTGTCCAATTACTGAATTGATAGCACCACTCTTATAAGGCTATGGTGTAATAGGGAGAAGCTCCCTGAAAGATACTTATAGACTATATAACGAGGTTATATAGCCTTTCCAACCAGACTCAAAAAGCTGACTTAAGAAGGCTTAGAAGGCCCAGTTCAACAAGAATCACTCCATAGCTATAAACATCGTGGTCTTTTGTAAAGGATGGATCATGATCACCGAGGTCTGCATCAGATGTAATGGTGGGATCATCTTGGACATCAGGGTGTTGGTAAAGCTTCCGTTCCCTGAATCTCTAGTTCTAACTTGCATCTTCTCGTTTTTCTCATCGTAGGGCGGTATAGAACTGCAATCGAAGCCGGCCAGATCTGGAGGACCGAGTAGCTCGAGTGGCTCATAAGTATCGCAGAAAAATTTACAAGGATATCATAGGGTGCCTTTCTCGGCCATTGCCATCAAAGGTCTGATAGTTCCTTGAACTGAAGCCTTGGCTATTTCACAATGTTCTTCTTCTGCGTTTGTGCTTCAGCTGTACCGGCCTCGATATCTGGCAATATCCACTTATACATAAAAGTGAGATAGAGTGTCGATGCCTGTATCCCGCGGGAGAGACCGTATCTTCAACCAATGCTGCTGACGACCAAGAGGCTCTGGCCAGTTATTAAAGGTCTAATGCGGTCCAAACAGTGCTGACGCTTCTCTCTCATGCATGAGGTGAACGCTAACGAAGGTGACGAGCCTAGTCCTGGTGCCGCAATACATGGTACAGGAGCAGCAGTGAGCATGATAGGGCCTAGTACACGGAGAGGCTGACGAACGGGTTTGTTGGTTGTTTTGCCCGGACAAGGCTGCGTTATGCATCCATTCAGCCAAGGTGCGGGGTCGCCCCTCATCCTCATCGTCATCCTCAATTACTGATTCCCGGGGTACTTGACTAGGACACACCGAAACCTGTCGCTCTGGGGTTTCCTAAGCCTTAGGGTTCCAGGCTTCGTGACCGATGGCTTCCGCCAGCAGAAACTTTGATGAGTACCGGCTGAACGCTGTCGTTAATCGCGATCCATATTTTGTCATCCATACATTGTCAGATGAGCGGCTTCCGCCCGAGCTGCGAAGGCCTGGCAGTGTGCAACGATGGGAGCGGGAGAAGGAGCTTGGTAAAGGCACCTTCGGTACTGTTTGGTTGGAGGTGCTGCGTTCCGGAAAAGCATCTGGGCGAGAAGTGAGAGCTGTCAAGAGAATTCAAAAGAAGTTAATGAGAGACAAGAGGGAACTAGCTGCGATGACCGACTTTTCCAGACGCAAGGTAAGTATCCTATCATTCTCATCATCGCGCAAATCTTTAGTTGTACAGAGACAATCGCCAGTCTGTTAAATGCTGACCTTTCGTTCAAAAGTATCTTCATATTGGGAGCTTCGTGGAATTCTTCGGCTGGTTTGAAGATAGCGCGAACATCTATATCGCAATGGAGTATTTTCCTTATGGGACATTAAGCGACTATATCGGCCAAGGTATTCCAGAAAATGAGATTCGAAAGATCACCGGCCAGCTGTTAGTTGGCCTCGCACTAATGCATGAGCATGACTACACTCATCGCGACCTGAAACCTGACGTGAGTTCTGCACTCCCTTCACCACCCTACACTTACCAACAGTTCCTCAGAATATATTCATCGATACACCAGGCCCGGAGTGGTCAGTGAAAATAGGGGACTTCGGTGTTTCTAAATATGTGAATAGAGGGATGACCGCGTTACGGACGGGGACAGGCACGCCACTCTATGAAGCTCCTGAAATTCAGGGGGACGTCATACAGGAAACTGAGGAAGAATACGTGGAGTATACAAATATAGTGGATATGTGGTCGTTAAGCTGCGTGGTATTTGAGATGGCAGCAAGGGCCGTGTTATTCCCTAGGTGGCCTCTGGATTATAAGAAGCTCTGTTGGGGCCTTTGGTATCCGGATAAACCACACACCATATCACAAAAGGGCTGGGACTTCATCACAAAACTCTTGGTCCAGCTGGCCGTTTGTCCGCTGTTGAGGCGCTGAAGCACGAGTGGATTACCTCGCGCGACCCGCAGCCCTTGACCGGAGAGGTTGTCCAGGATCCTGGGGCAGCAGCGCCATCTCCCAAGAAAGACTCTGGACTCAATAGAGTCGGACAAAGCGGCAGCAGCGGCAAAGTCCAAGCTGCTAACGGTAACGATAACGATGCGTTGACGGCATTATCCGCAAAAACCCCGCAGGTCATGTCTTCAAGTGGTGAACATGGTGATGGCAACCTATCTGGCAGCTCGCAACGGCGTACCGTGATCAGGAGGATCAGCCAATCGAACAACAGGGACAATTTTTCTGCGGGCGATACACATCAGACAGAGCCGGCGCCACCCAAGGCCGAGCCATTGCGGAATAAGGTGGTAAGTCTCAGATAGTGGCACAGATGCCGTGAGTACTTTACGAGCAAGACTTAACTGGAGTATATTCTAGACGCTGCGAAACCCGAAAGCTATAGTTGGAAGCCTCTCTGGCGCCGAAACGGATATCGACGACGAGGCGTTTCGGCTAGATCTCCCTTTCAGCATCAAGGTATACGGCCATTCAAGCTCGACTCTCTTCATCATCAAGAATGGTATGATCTGTCTGGACCAGGCACCTAGCGCGAATGCCTGGTTTATTGGAACCAACCACCAAGAACTGCCCTTCCGCGAGGGACTCCATCCCTACTGTGAGGGACTCCCTCCCTACTGCCTGTTTCCGTACTGGACCTATCTGCTTATCAAAAGGGGGATGCCACATGGAATCTACTATGAGATTGAAGGAAGTGCTCCGAAACGATTGCTGAAAATCGAATACTACGTGACTCGCTACCATGTGATGGAGTACTACTTCCATTTTCTTGTCATTATTGAAGAGGCACGCCCGAATATCGTGACCTTCAGGTACTATGATGTTCCGGACAACGGGCGAATGGGAACAGTTGGCGTGCAGGGTCCAGACAGTGAGTTCTCTTCGATCTCATCTACAGGTCCCAGATCGGATTGGATTTTATGCTGATGATTTGTGTAGAGCACAAGATGTTCTCCTTCAACCAGCCGAAGATCAGACGAGGGGTGCAGCTGGTCTTCAACACCACCCCCAATGTCAACGACGTGCAGGTATCGGAGTTTCAACCGTACTGATAGTATCAGCTGGGCAAGGCTGGCAACGGTTACGTACACGGGGCAGGACTCTATTGAATGAAACCCATTTATTCGAGTTGCGTGCACCAATTTAATCTCTGGTGAAGTGCATTTTTTAAATTGTCTTCTAAATCTGTATGGACGAGGACTTCGGTCAATTCCACAGTAGCTAAGCCTATATTCTTGCTCATCTCACGAAGCATGTCCCGCGCCAGTCAGGTGCAGCGTTAGTTCGCCTTTAGGTTGTAATCCAACATCCTAATAATATGAATGCCTAACCCAACTGGCTAGAAAGTTGTACTCGGGTATTACAAGCTTGAACAAAGAAGAACATGACTGCCTAATAAGAGGAGGGAGGTTCTAGCAGACTGGAATAGCTATGAACATCACCATTGACTGGTTCTGTGTAGGCTAAACTGAGAGTGATCATATCTGAGAGGAGAAAATATAATTTGTGTAAAAAGACTAAGTAAGCTTACCGCTGTATACGCAATCTGCAGAAGAGCTCTTATCTCCACTGTCGGTCTGCCCTCTGTTAATTCCAGGGAGCGTAACAAGGAGGTTGTGCCATGCATGTGGCATAGGCAGCCGTGAGATGCGGGATGGAAGTTATCATAGACAATCATCTACGTTGACTAGTTAGTATAGACCACACCTGAATATGGGGCCACCGCATGGCAAGGCTCACTTCAAACATGAACAAGTTAAAGCTGACGATTGCGGTTCTCGTTTGGCGCAGCTCATCGGTGCCATCAATAGCGCGTACAAGAATCCTGAGAGCCGACGAATAGTTCTGCCTTGCAAGCTGCATCAGATGGGGGTCGCTATGGACCACTGCTAACGCTGCCAGACCAAATTGAGGCCACAGTGGGAATAACGGGGGATAATTGGCTGGGATATGGGCGATGAACTGGAGCGCTGGATGGGTGCATAATGTTGAAATTCTCGAAGTAATACCACCATGCAATCTCCTCTACGGGCAGCCGAGGTATTAGGCCTGCAGGGGAGCTGGGACGACTAGGTTGAGAATGACGGGCTTGTTGGACGACTTTGCACTCGGCTGTACGATATTTCTGTTTTCTGCGCGCCGTCTGATCCTGGAAGATTACAGGGTTGCGATAACCGGAATATGTTAGGCCAGCTCGCGCACATTGAGAGCATCGCGGTCGAAGCTCGTTGCACTATTTTCGACTGCGTCAGGACCGTGAGGATATAAATATGAAGTTGATACTGTGAAACTCACCTTGATTCGTCGAGTCCTACAATTCTAAACAACCTAGTCTACCCAGGTTACGGAGAGGCATGATGGTGGGTTGATGTGTGGTAGCTGCTGGGTTCACCAGAGCCACCATCAAATATACTTGAAGCACGAAACGGAGATTCGGCATCGGGGCCATCGGGCCCTTTTGGCCGACTTCGTTTCGAATAATCCAATCATAAATCCAGAAATCCTCTGCGTCAGATTGGCTTTGAAACTCGCATCGTTATTATTCCCATGCGTTCGCGCAATTTCACGAGTGAGTTCCCGTTTCGGGATAAAGTGGGCGCCTTGGCAGAATTGAGCTATCACTAGTCTGCAGATGAGATGTCCGAAGCAATCCGAAGCCTCAACCAGAAGATGTAAGTAGATAATTGAGGCACTCAATAAATGGAACCAGCTCACGTGGGACAGATTGACGATCTGAAGTGCCTTGAGATCTATTCCACGACTGAGATGCCTATCTTGATCATGTGGGGATGCCGCCATGAAAAGTGCTCATTTTCAGGATACCTGGATGTCCAGAGCTGTGTATAAATAGAGCATGGATTTCCATTAATAAACAGCACCTTTACTTTCAACATCATCTACGCTTCATACATCAGTACAGCAAATCGTATAACAGTTCATATACTTCAGCTTATTTATACCAACATGTCCTCCATTCAGAAAGTTGCCCTGCTCGGCGTACGTTCATTCTGTGCCCATACTCATCGCTGATGCTAATTGTGACCACATAGAAAGGGTTCCTCGGTTCCGCAGTGCTCGAGAACCTCGTCAACGCCGGGTTCACGGTGACGGTCTTCACTAGGTCCCGAGATTCTCTCCAAGGAATCCCAGCTGAAGTGAAGGTTGCTGAAGTCGACTACTCCTCTGCAGGAAGCCTAGAGGTTGCGCTACGCGGCCACGATGCTGTTGTATCTACTTTGGCCCTTCAGGCAATACCCCTTCAGAAGCTTGCGATTGATGCAAGTATCCTAGCTGGCGTCAGACGCTTTGTTCCAGCCGATTTTGGTGCTCTGACAGTAGACCCAAGAGCGGACGCGCTCCCGAACCATGGCCGTCTGCTGGAGATCCAGCAGTATCTACGGGAGAAAGCCAGTTCTGGAGAGCTGGAGTATACCATTTTTGCCGTGGGCCCGTTCCTTGAGAATGTCCTCTCCAAGCCCTTCGCACTCAACTATGAAAGCCACACTGCTGTCCTGTACGACGATGGAAATCATCCATTCAGTACCACAAGTGTGAACACCATTGGCAAGGCAGTGGCGGCCGCTTTGAAGAACGCGAGCGCCACTAAAAATCGGGTCCTGCGCATACACGACACTGTCCTCACCCAGCAGAAGCTTCTGGCTCTGGCACGGAAGCATGCTGCTCCTGGAGTTGTATGGAAAGAGTCGAGAGTTGATGCTGATGCTGAGCTGGCATCTGCGATCAAACGAGTAACTACGGGAGACTTGAGCCCCCCGGCACTCCTAGCAGTGATACGGGCTGCGGTTCTGGGTGGGAAATATGAAGCAGAATACAAAGATGTCGATAACGAGTGGCTGGGCTTGGGGTTTCTGGGTGACTTGGAGCTGGAGAACAAGTTCTCAGCTCAAACCCTTAAGGTTACTCATTAGTAGGCGTCAACCATACTAGCCGCCGTCCATCCTGTCATTTTGATTCTTAATGCGTGCTATCAAATGGTTGGCTTTGTGGCTGGACTTTTGCTGCACCTGGATGGTGGTTTCCCTATCTCGTCAAAGCTTCCAGCTGGCGTCGGGCGGGCACAGCACGCGGGGTTATGGTAGTGAATGCAGATCTACCTTAGAAGTATAGTCTTGTTGAAATCGTTCTTCTGTAGGCGTTCGCCAATGGTTGCTCGATGTCCATGGGCAAGCTTCAGCAATTGTTATAGTTAATTGATCAAGCATGGATTGCCTTTGATTGACATAGATATGACGAGTACGTGCCATTTGCAGTACCATGTCACAGTGACCCATGGCTGGTGGAGATAAATCGGACGTTGTTGATTGGCAATTTGGAAACCTTCTTGGCTTGCCACAATGGATGAAAGGAATTCTTGCTCTATTGCTACCCTTCGTAAAGCATGCCATTGCTATTATAAGCTTACGATATTGATGACTGGTTGTTCAGGGAAAATATCACGTCATGGTAGGATCATTCCACGACGTAGCATATAAGAATAATATATAAAGTAACAGCCTACTTAGATTTGGAGCTAGTATCCATTTAACTAACCTATCACTTAATAAAGTATACTCATTGTTAATTCTCCTGTTTATTTATAATGCCATCAAAACCAGTTGCATCCCCTCCTCTTCAACCTAAGAAGGTGCACGGCACGACCCGCGATGATGAGCCAATTGATGACTATGAGAATGCCATTCACTCGAAGCAGCAGGAAGAAGAGGGCTTGCATCAAGCATCAGAAGGCAATGTCGCTGCAGCACGTCGTGTTGATGCTCCAGGAGGACCACATGAACAGCATATCGGGAACACAGGCTCTCGGAACTGATCAACTTCTGGGCATTGATTGTCTTGTCTGACATCTTAAGGCCACAAATTTACAATTCAATCAGTTCTATTGGCTTGGATCTTGAATGGAATGAAGAAGGAATAGTTTTCTATCTCTAGCAAAGGGCTGCTGTACGGTGCTTCTGTATTTTATGTTGCAGTTTCATATTGTTCATACAGCCACTACTGATTATTTTCGAAGGCTATGGGGTATCATGTTATAGTGACTATGGTGGTCCTTAAATTTGCTGCCCTTTGTTTACGCGTGCAGAAGGATATGCTCCTTCATAACTGAGCCTCCAGCTTAAGCTGTAATACAGGTCGCGACACTGCTAAGATAGTGGTCGCTGTATATTATTCTGGTGTGAACTGGGATTAAGTAGGATCACTGTTATATTGTTACAGCTTTACACTACTAATAGCTCTATTTAAATTCTAAAACATTAGATTTAGATTTCTCTGTCAGAGACTCTGACTGTGATCTAACTCGATCTCTTCTTATCTATACTATCTAGTAAGCAGAAAACAGCTATAGCTAGAAATTCAGCTGCCGTCTTAGAGCTCAGTTTACACTACTGCAACCTTCGTAGTACCTACATAACCACCTTATCCACTTTGGAGTCGTGCTTAGCAGGAATATGTACTCAAAAACTATTATCTCTAATATTAGCCAGTCTTGTATCTATAGGGTCATAAGACACGGAAGTCAAGCCGGCGTGGTGGCGCGAACGAAACCGAAGTCGGTTTTTATACCGACCTCGGTTTCCACAAAGCGACCTCGCTTTTTCACAGGATATATGAGAAGGATCGATTTCGATTTCGACCTGACAAAAATTTAATGGTTGCTAATCGTCTGCATACCGCTCGTATATTTTACTGACTGTTGCTCGACCACCATGGACTCCCTGCTGCAGAACCTCACCTACACTGACTTTGCCCTCCTCATCATCACGGTGCTCATTCTTCGCATTTTCTATCGGGCATTCTTGTATCCAGAGTTCCTTACTCCCCTGAACAATCTACCTACTCCACCTGAACGATCACTGACGAGAGGAAACTATACCAAGTCTGGTTCATCATCACATTTTGCTCTTCTGCGGCATTGGAAGGCAACAGTCGCCAGCCGCGGCCTGATCAGATATTATCTCCCAGGGAATCAGGAGAGAGTACTCGTCACAAACGTGGAAGCTCTGAAGGATATTCTCGTGTCCAAAGCCTCTGATTTCGTGAAACCAAAAGCGGTCCAACGGCGTCTGTCGCGCATTACAGGGAATGGGTTGCTTCTGGCTGAAGGAGAGGTCCACAAGGTCAGCGCACCGGCAGGCTTTCAAATCACAAGGGTTAACAACAGGTATAGATGCAACGAAAAAGTCTCCTGCCAGCGTTTTCTTTCCGACACGTAAAGGATCTCTATCCCTTTTTTTGGTCCAAATCAGTCGAGATGGCCAAGTGCCTCGAGAACGTGGTCCTTGATACCAATACCAGCAACAGAGGTGTCGTTGAGGTGAGTGGATGGGCAACACGGGCGACGCTCGATATCATCGGCTTGGCCGGGCTGGGACACGACTTTGACTCCCTACAAAACCCGAAAAGTTCACTTATGCGGCAGTATCGACAGCTGCGACAGGATCCATCTCCATTGGAGAATGCACTGACTACCTGTCTCATGTTCTTGATTGATTATGCCGACCAAGTGGTGTCCCTGCTGCCAACCAAGCGAATGACGCAGATAAAGGCTGCATCCCTGGCCATCCGAACGGTTTGCCACGGAGCTATTGAAGCCAAGAAGAGGGAAAGGACATCAGGGTCATCGGGCCAGGGAGACCTCGATATAGCAACAGTTGCCCTCAATAGCAGAATGTTTACTGATGGCGAGCTGGTGGATCAAATGATGACTTTTTTGGCCGCTGGGCATGGGACCACGTCCCATGCCCTTCAGTGGGCCATATACGCGCTCTGCAAGCATCGAGAGATACAGGATCGCCTTCGAAACGAGGTTCGTTCGCAATTGCCATCCGTTGCTGATGGCGGATCGGTTCCCTCGGCTGGTCATCTGGATAGCCTGCTGTATCTGCGAGCAGTTTGTAATGAAACTCTACGCCTCTACCCTCCTGTGCCGTCCACCATCCGAGAAGCACTGCGTGACACAACTGTGGCTGGCTATCATATTCCCAAAGGCACCGTCTTTACCATCTCCCCGGCGGTCACAAACGTGGATGTGGAACTCTGGGGTCCCGATGCTGGGGACTTCAACCCTGAGCGCTGGATGCAAGATGGATGTGCGAATTCAGGAGGAGTTAGTGATGCTTTTGGATTTCTCACCTTTCTTCAAGGTCCACGCAGCTGCATCGGGGCCACATTTGCCAGGGCTGAATTGGCGTGTCTGCTTGCTGTGCTTGTAGGTCGTTTCCGGATGGAACTCGAGGACCCCAACAGGGAAGAAGAATTGACGCGGCGGGGAGTCGGCGCTGCACCTGCAGATGGATTGCGTGCCAGGTTTGACGTTATTGAAGGATGGTAGAATTGAGTAGGAGCTGCTGGATGAGCTATGCTATGTAGTCACTGAAATGGTGTTGGGACTCGAACTTCTAGTACCTAATTTCTTCTGGGCACTTTATTAGTTGCTTCCACCCGTGACCCGTCCCATCATCATTAGTCACCAGAATTCAGTCATCATCGGCAACTCGGCACGAGAAGAGGCGATCATTGGATGCTGGACATCCCAAAAAGCTTACCACTTCATAGACCATGAGGATCTCATTGTTGTTCTTGATAGTAATTATAGTATCGACTCTACATAACCAGAATGAGAGGGAGAAAGGTGGACCATGTGGCGTGCGTATATTGTCGCCAAATGAAGGTATTCGCAAACAACACCCTCTTAACTACTGAAAGCAGTCTAAGTTCAGCAGCGAGCGTGCGATCGGTACGATAAGCTTCCTGCTCTGTGTTCAAGATGCTCCAAGGCAAACAAAGTGTGCTCAATCGACCCGTCTTTTCGGCGGCAAAAAAAGCGACAGTAAGCTGTTGAAGCGACGATCCGTGGTGATTATGACTGATCTGATGGACCAGGAAGCTAGCCGAAATCGAACAAGAGCTGCAGCAACTCAAGAACCAGTTGCAAAGTCACGACCAGCGATGTCAGAGTCAGAGTAGGGTTAACAATGTCATGAGCACTCGCTCATGTCTTCGTATAAACGAAGAAACCGAGAGGATTGACCTTTCCTCGATGGACAAAACCATAGGGAGCGTCTCCATACCACAAGCAGTGGTCCAGACCCTGTTGGACGAGTAGGAGTATCTATGGTCATGTCACTAACGAGACTCTCACTAACAGGATACTAGATATTATGCCAATTACCACATGTTCCTCCCCATTCTTCCTGGTCAAGCAGGCTTCCATGCCTACACTCATTCTTCTGATCTCCTTTACTCAGTGGTGATGTTGACTGCTCTTAGACGATTGTCAAAGCATTATGACCTCTACCTGTCACTTGTTGATGTGGTGCGATCGCTGTTGGCGAGTCATTTGCTGTCGGCAAGTGGTACCATTCAGACCATGCAAGCACTATTATTACTCTGTCACTGGCCACTTCCATTCGACAGAAATGAAGATCCATCGCATGCCCTCATTGCACAGGCTACTCATCTTGGACTTCGCCTAGGCCTTCATAGACCGGGTCATGGAAGAGAATTCCTGGCTGATCCGTCCACTGTGGAAAATGTGGAACATATACGGCAAATGACATGGGTAGCGTGCTTTGTTTCGAATATCAGGCGAGTACAGCACGTAATGGCAATCCGAGTGATGGCAATTCTCATTCTTCTCAGTGTCAGTGCTCAGCTGGGACTTCCGGCCACAGTCCAGCTCGATGACGGTCTCCTGGAGATACTGGCCTCGAAGGGCCCCTGCCTTCGGGAAACCCTGCTCTGTCAATTGCAGATAGCCTCAGTCGCCTCGCGGATTAGCTCAGCCCTTGGGGGCCCTAAATGGACCACCGGGTGTCCGACCCATGAGTATAATCTAATGGTTCGCCATTTTGAGACAGACCTGCGCGTGCTAGAGATTCAATATGCTGCTTCCTGGTCCTTGGCAGATCACATTGTATACCTCGGCACTCAGCTCATGCTTTATATCATTGCCCTCAGTGCGGACGAAGGTAGACAAGCCAACTCACCGTCCTCCTGGGTGGTTTGCGGTTATAGCACGGCGATTTGCCTGGTTCAGAAGGCTTCTGCAATGGAAAGCAAATGGCTGTTTGCGCCCGTCCGCCTTCATAAGATTGTTTTGAACGCGATCTGCTTTCTCTTACTATTAAAGCGGTTCCCATACTGGGAGTCTCTTGAGTTTGATCTGCTTCTACTTAACAACACAATCAACCAGGGGCTTGAGTTATTACCAGGGTTGTCAGTAACTCCAGGAGACTTTATGTCTCGTGCATTGTCATTGCTCGACCAGTTCAGCCAACTTGTTGACAAGTTTCAATCTCGAGACATGCCGAATGAATTCTTGCCGGTGAAGTTCAGAATGGGGGCTAATGTAGCTTTCAGCACGGCAGTTCGAGCCAGGGAACTGATACAAAAGCAACAGGATCATCAAGGGTGTTTGGATATGGTTGATCTGCGAGTCATGCAGGACGTTGATCAGCTTTTGGACTTGGACTGGAGTGAATTGTTTGGAACAGGAATCGGTGCCTAACTATTGAATGCTAAACAAGTCTGACATTCACTGAAGTTAGTATGTATTTACGATCCTGCTTCACCCTCACCTGTCTAGTGTGATCCTCGTCTAGAATAATATCAGAATGTGATTCAGAGCTGTATTAAACATGCGCTGTGCTATTCCAATCGTAAAGCAACCTATCTTACCATGATTACCTCCCACCACACTGTTGCTGCTGCTGCCACATATACCACCTACGGCCTATATAGCATGCTTATAGACAATCAATATTTTTATATAAAGACAACCTGAATGTCCTCTACTACACACCAATTTATGGAAACTAGAATCTGACCAAGTTACCACCTTAGAAGACTTATCAAACCAGCTTAAGCCTCTAAGTTTAGTACTATACTAAACCTGAAGCAAACCCTTTATCCTCCCTAGAAATGCTTCATAGTCTCACTCCATAGGGACATGGTCTTTTTTCTATTTTATCAAAAGTTTATCCTCCTTAGATAAGATAGTAACACACCTACCAGTGGAATAAGTAGAGGGTTTATAGTTACTAAGTACCTTGTACCCACTCTTTATTTAAGAGGAGATCTGTTACTCTATCTTTGACCTTATAGTGGACCTCCCTTATTGGTATCACTTCCAGGGATATAGCAACTCCTTTCTGGGTCCATTCTCCATAGAGTGCCAGTATGGTCCTTGTTCCTTTCTCTTTTCTGCAAGAGCTCTTTCTCCCCATTCCAAGAACCAGGTTCCTCCATCTGCATGTCATATCCTTATGATCTTATTCTTACCTTTTCTTGTGCTCAATTCTTGTTTCTGACGATCTCAACTTTAAAACCAAAAAAGGACTAGCGCCTCGTCTGTGCTCGTGCCCAATTGGGCGATGACATCACCAACTACTTGTTGCCCCTTGCTCTCTCTTCTCTCTCTCTCTCTCTACTCTTCCTCTTCCTCTTCTGATCCTCTCATCTTCCTGTCGTTCTCTTATGCTCAGTGTCCTATCTCTTGTGGACATCCCTCCCTATAATTATCCCTGCTATAAGAAGTACATCTGGTCATTCTTATTACCCAACATGGGATGCAGTTGAGATCACACACATTCTTCCCCCTGCATTTATTATCTTCGCCCCTTAGGCTCAACCGCGGACCGCCCGACCTCGGTTCCGGTTCCTGATATACACCCAAACACCACGACTCTGAATATCCCACCATCTCATCCACCGACAATCACGCCATGACATTGAATACGGTCGCATTGGGTGTCTCCCTTACGCCTACTGTCGTTGCGACCTTGGTTTCTCACGTGCGTATCGCCCAGCATCTTCTCCACTGTCCACTGACAGCCTGATTTGATAGTATCTGCATCGGAAATCCCATCGCAAGAAACCCACCGTCCATATCTCCTACGACGAGGCAATCCAGGTCATTCGCCAATTCCTCAACTATGCTGCCAAACACACTGTCGAGGATATCCAGGCGTTCACAGCCCAGCGGGTTCCTGCCCCTCATTGGGTGAAGACAACCAAGGTCGTCATTCCGGAGAAGTACCTCGCTTCTGCTGCGGCCGCTCTTATCAAGCAACTTGGTCGCAAAGGTACAGCGCGTGTGGGGGGAGAGAAGTGGTGGCAATGGCGTGGACCGTCGGGGGATCTCAGAGGAGAGTGGATCGAGATGAAGTCGGATTACCAGGAGAGGAAAAACACCAACGACCATCCGAACGGAAAGCGCATAATGTTGTATCTTCACGGCGGTGCCTACTTTTTTGGCAGTGTGGAGACCCATCGGTATCAATTGCAGCGTCATGCTAGAAAGCTCAAGGGACGGGTATTTGCACGGTAAGACGGCCGGCCCCTCTTCGAATTATCCATATACTAATTGTGTAGTGAGTTACGCCCAGTCACAGAGTATGGAATGACAGCTAAACCCTACGAATAGCGGAATATCGCCTGGCACCACAGTTTCCCTTTCCATGTGCCCTACAGGACTGTTTGGCGGCTTATCTGTTTCTTCTCAACGAACACGATCCGACAGAGATCATCCTTGCAGGAGACTCCGCAGGCGGTGGAATGGTCCTTTCGTAAGTGCCATTCATACCTACTGCTCTGGAGATGCACTAATCTTGGCAGGATCTTGGTCACCATCCGCGACCAAGGACTACCTTTGCCCGCCGGAGCCATCCTGATCTCGCCCTGGGTGGATCTTACACATTCTTTTCCCAGTGTGCTATCGGAAAGTCCAGGTGACTACATTCCACCGAATGGCTTCCGATATAAGCCCTCTGCAGCCTGGCCGCCTCCAAACGCCGATGAAATTCGCGCGATCAAGGACGCAAAGCAGAAGTCCCCAGAAAGCGCCGCGGAAGAAGCCGTGCCAAAAGAGGACACCCAGGCTCATGAGACGGCAGTGAAGGGGTATACGGTCGAGAAGCACGGGTCAGGTCGGACAGAACCGACCCCGGCGGCCCAGCAACATTCAGAAGACGAGGAGACCAAGGTCATCGAAATCCCTATTGACGGTCATACAGTCGTAGTTAAAGACCAGATTCAAATGTACGCCCCCAATCACCTCATCTCTCACCCACTGGTCTCTCCGGTACTCCAACCGTCGCTGGGCGGCCTCCCCCCACTGCAGATCCTCGTCGGGGGAGGCGAGCGGTTAAGGGACGAGCAGTTTTACACTGCTCACAAGGCCGCAAATCCGACGGCATATCCACCCAGCGACAAGACTCTTGACGAGTATGACCCGAATCGTGAGATCTTACACAAATATCCTGGCACGCACGTTCAGTTGCAGGTGTGGGATGATCTCTGCCACGTTGCCCCGACCCTTAGCTTTACGCGTCCGGCCAAGTACATGTATCGATCGATTGCTCAATTCGGTGCCTGGGCTCTTGCATGTTCTCAGACTTCAGAGATTGCCATCCTCGACGACAATGACATCTCACCCATCTCCTCCTCCAGTGAAACAGACGCTCGCGATGCAGAGGCCAACGGTGAGAACAAGGGTAGCTCAAAACCGTCCGTTGCGTCCATCGGCAGGGCTGGTGATCCACTGCCTGCATTTAAAGATCGTATGATCCGCCAAAGAGTGGACAAAAGAGGACGCATATATCCGCTCGATCCCCCATCCTCCTATACCGTCCTGGAATTTTCGCGGGATAAAATCGGCGTAGCGAACCCGGAGCTGGTCCAGAAATGGATGGCCTCAAAGGAGGAGTGGGATAAGAAATTTGCCAAGGACAAGCTGCGTGTGCAGAAGCAGCGGATAAAAGAATTGGCCCATGGATTCCAGGATTTTGATGGGGATACTGCTCCCCCAAGCTCCTTGGCGGCAAGAAGACTGGCTCCGGGAGTTTTGCCTCAAAAGGGTGGAAAGGAGCGGAAGAGTTACCAGATGACGATGTGGAGTCGGATGGCTAGCAAGCATGACAAGAAGACGCTCGCAAGAGAACAGGAGATACAGAAGGAAGAGGGTCGTTCGAGGCTGACGAGCGTTGACGGTGGAAGAGCATGGGCGTCTATGGATAGACCGAGATCTCGGGATCATGTCGAGTCGTTTCCGACTGAGTCTAACAAGGGCACGCAAGTCAACGGAGGGAAAGCGCTTGAAGGTCGGCGAGAAGACCAGCCACCATCTAGCGGTACTGGACACGATATCAACCAGTCTGAAGTCTCGCGTCCGGCCTCGTCAAATTGGGCCAAATCTGCCAGTCCGATGATCCTGTTGCCCGACTATGAAAGCAGGCAGTTCAATGCAGATAATGCCAGCACAACGACTTTGCTGCATGCAGCTGGAACCATTCCTGCTCGATCCGAACAGCCTCGACCTGTCTCCCAGGCCGGTTCCGGGACGATTCGCAGCGGCATGACCGCCGACCGAGAAGATGCCAGTATCCTCGACGATGCAAGATCACTAGCTGTGACAACGATCACTGCGCTGGACAATGCGAGTACCCGGGCCGTCCGTAATTCCACTGGAGTAGTCGGCGTGGTCAACGATAAGAACTCGACGAATGGTTCTGCCGAGACCTTGTCTGCCCCTCAGCCGTCTGGGGATCTGGAATCTTTCTATTCGGCCAATGCGGATTCGGAGGGTGATGCTTATTCTGTCCGCGCTCGCCCGGATATGCCTGATCGGGAAGTATTCAAAACTGCAGATGAACATCTTTGATTCTGGTATATACGGCCTTTATAACATTGTGCTCTATATACCTGTCCTGTTGTTCCATGTTGATAGATTTTTGGTATCTTTGAGATTCCCAATACAGTTATTCAACACGAGCATTCTGAAAAGCTACATTCATGTGCAGTAGTGCTTCTGTTGACCCTGTAGTGAATATCCGCATATTCCCGCTGCTGTAGCCTTAGATCCAACGCCTATTCACTATAGTCATTCACGATGTATCAGCCATATCCAGAAAGATTCATTGCCTGACTCTCAACGCCGTCTTTCTCGATCCCTCCCTGTCTTCTCCCTATCTTGCTACCGCCGCTCCCCTCCCCCATTCCCTCCATTCTTCTCTCCCGCTCATAGATAGCATCAATCCAAACTCCTTTCTGCGCTTGTCATCAACACACAGAGTCAGGCTGCTTCGACAGGATGCTTTACTACCTTTCCAGCCGAAGGGACATTCGTCGACCTGCTCCGAGGCATTGCACGCAGCAGTGCCGGTGAGAATCCCTCCAGTGGTCAAACTACTGAATACATGGGCAATTCATTTATTCATCTTTTCCTTTCTTTGACCTGGCGGCCGGTGTTCTTCTTTTGGAGGCTTCGTGCCCTCGTCGTGAAAGACTCGCCGACTGGGTAGGCGGCCTCCTTGAGGTCAGAACTGATGAGTGAACTGACACTATGCGATGGTTACGATGATCAAAGCAGGGCTGAAGCTCCGTCTGCACTACTGGGAGCGGTTCTAAATGGCTTACGTCCCACTAGCGTGGCTCGAGACGCCTTCCACTGGAAGAATGGAAGGTCGTGCCTTGTTTCCGGTTACTGCGCCACTCGCCAATGGAAAAGCGAGTCTGCGTGGTGGTTCTATCATCTCGGCAAGAATTAACCATGAGCTATGTCACTGCTATAACAGAGGATGTAAGTGACTCCTGGGCTTTGCAAAAACAACCATATCCTTAACGAGCTTGCTACGGCTACGCATGAAGCAGAAACTATCCTGGACATCCCTCATAACTACCGCGATCGTTCCCCTGATACAGTGGAATTCACAAAGAGGAAGCATTAGGCCCCTTAAGAGAAAATCTCAGATGCCCCATGTGCCTATAGTGATGCTTCATGACACTCCGGAAGCCAAAGTCTTAGCTGGGGATGATATACTACTGATATAGCTAATAAAACAAAGTACATGATGTCCCAACTGCTTCCAACACCATGGAGCTATGCAGACGGGTTTAGGAAACCAGATAATAATAAGAACTAGAAGCTCGTTAATCTAATACCGGATGACATACTAGTGGTGAAGGCAGACAAGATAAATTACATTGCATAATCCTTCATTTGAACAGGTGCAACAATCAGACATTGCGTTCATACCAGCTGATACCCATCAGGCTCTTTACTATGATGCAATGGGACAGGGTTACCGTGTCTCAATGACAGCTTAATTGCTTAATATATTCATCCAGTTACGCCGACCTTGATCATGGCTCTGCGTTTGACTCCTGTCTTAACAGACATCACCACCTGATAGACACAGCCATCTGCGACTCAGCAGGGGTATTGGCGGGGAGCCATCATGATCAACTATATTTCCCTTGCATCAAGAATGATCATACGTTTGACTGGGCCCGAGCAACATACTCGGGAATACTTGGAAATGACCCGAAAGAAATGTACCCATTAGCGGACATCGCAGAGCACCTGACATCAATGAGCATACGACGTGGGATCGCCCAGGATCTTTCAAGAGCGTCAAGCCTACCAACTTACGAACACTCTCGTAAAACCAAAGTGTGGAGTTCTCGACTTCCGGAAAGACTGTCCGCTCTGGGAAACTCTCGCTGTATAGTAGGGGAGCCAACGCACACGGCGATAGTTTTGGACGGCCTGACTTGGTGGACTTATATAGAGTTTCCCACCGCTGGGATAGAGACTGATACGCCAGAATATGGCCAAGCACTTATCTAAAAATGACATCCAGGTCCTTAATGGAGTGCTCTGCTTTGGGAACTATATATTATCTCAACCATGTCCGCGGAACAGTTAGGGTACTATTAGATCACATGACATGGTTACGTGTATTCCTCCATAAACTGATACCTACAGCGGAATTTAGCCATAGAATCTGCTCATTCTGATTATTATAGAGTTGACAACAAACTTGACAATGCTATTTGGCTAACTCTGGCTGTTAATCTGCGATACTCTCAACCGACGTCTACCAGTCCGCACACATGCCCGTATGCTTATCAAACACCGAACCAGGCTGGCACTCGGGAATTCCCGTCGGAGGACAATACTCAAAGTTCATGCAATCACCCGACGCCAGAGCACACTGCTTGCCGTTGAAGACCTGGCCAGGCGGACAAGCAGGTCGCTCAATGGAAAGACACTCCTTGGCCTGTTTGCTGTAGACGGTGCCAGGCTGGCAGACGGGGTCCTTCTCACCGACACACTTCTTCCCGTTGAAGCGCATACCCGCGGGACAGGTCGGCTCCTCGGGGTGAGCGCACTCCTCGCCGTCGAACTCCAGACCGGGTTCGCACTCAGGCACTGAACCAACGCAGTTCTGGCCGTCGAAGTGCGTGTTGGCCGGACACTCGGGCTTGCGGTCCGAGACGCACTCCCCGTTGAGGAGGGTGTAGCCTGGCTCGCACTCGGTGGTGATGAGGCTGATGCAGCGCCCGTTTGTCCACTTGTGGTCGGGCGGGCACTCTGGGTCCTTGGGGCTGACGCACTGCTTGCCGTCGAAGACGGTGCCCTTGATACAGGTGGGGATGCCAACGACGCAGCCGCCGGCGACGAGGGTGGAGCCGGGGGCGCAGGAGGGGATGGAGCTGGTGATGCAGTCGCCTTCGCCGTTGGGGACTGAGTTGGCGGGGCAGGACGGGGTGATGCGGGAGACGCAGCGGGTGCCGTCGAAGATGGTGTCCTCTGGGCAGGCGGGGGAGTGGCCGGAGGTGCAGTCCTCGCCGTTTAAGGTGGCGTTGTCGTCCTCGCACTTGGGGTTGTGGGTGGTGGAGATGCAGTTGGTGCCGTCGAAGGTGAAGCCTTCTTCGCACTGGGGGCGGGAGAGGCTGACGCAGAGGCCGGACTCGTATTTGGTGTCTGGTGGGCAGCTGACGTGGACGGAGGAGATGCAGTTTTCGCCGGAGAGGATCAGGCCAGGTGGACACTGGGGCTTTTCGATCATGGTGCAGGTGGCGCCGTCGAGGATGTAGGAAGGCGGGCATTCGGGGGGTTCGGTCGAGACGCAGCGGCTGCCGTCAAGTTTGGATTTGGGTGGGCAGGTTGCAACCTTGATGGCCTGCTTCTGGCAGAACTTGCCGACGAGCGTCATTCCCGGCGGGCATTTGCCGTTCTCGTCGACTCCCATCAGGCACACTTCACCATTCCACGTCATCTGCGGGGGACAGCAGCGAGCGGTGTTGGAGGCCACATCGAGCGAGAGATCACTTCCAGTCGGACAGCTGGCTGACTCGGACAGTACGCATTTCTTGGTGACGGGGTCCAGCTCGGAGGCCGGCGGGCAGGCGGGTTTGGCCGTCGTGGTGCATTTCCCGCTGGTGGGTTGGAACGTGCTGCCTTCGGGACAGGAGGGCTTGATGTCGGATACGCACACCCCGTCCTTGACACGGCTGCCTTCCTCGCACTCCGGTCCGGAGACGGAGATACACACCTTCAATGTTTTGTGGTACTCCGTGCCTGCTGGACAGACAGGGGGGCGATCGCTGACGCAGTGCCCGTCTTGGAAAGCCAACCCTTCGGGACACTGGGGCTTTTTGACACTGACACACGTCTTGCCATTGAACGTGTAGTTCTCGGGACATCTGGGGCCCTCCTTCGACTGGCACACATTGCCATTATACACGAAACCAGACGGGCAGGTGGGAGGTCCGGTCACGCAGGACTTGCCCTTCCATACGGTCGGGGGCGGACAGGTTGGCTCTGAGGTGGAGATACAGACTTTGCCGTCGTATTCGCTGCCCTCGGGACAGATGGGCTTGACCGTGGACACGCACTTGTCTTCTTTGCGGATGAAACCATCGGGACAAGTCGGTACACCAAGGACACAGGCCTTGCCATCGAATTCTGTTCCCTCGGGGCAACACTTGACCAGGCCGGAAGAGGGATCGGTCAATGGACGAATGTCGTCCAGGGTGTACTTGGACTTTCCCACGGGGAACTGCCTGGCTTGTGTATGGACAGAGAGTGCCAGGACAAGTGCCCAGAGGGATTTTGTTCTGACCATGACGAAAGTTTGCTGCAGAAAGAAGATCAAGATAGAAGATGAGAGGGAAGCTGATCGAGAAACCGGATTCATGGAGCTGTGAATTGACCCTCTTTATAGCAGCTCACATGGACTGAGATGCCGGCCGCATGCTTGACTATGCGACCTGGTATTACAACTCAGCCTTCAGCTCTTTGAATGGATTAGCCAGAGCCTGTGCTCATCAGTGTGGAGTACTAAGAGTATCGCGGGGATTCCGGTGTCTTGGATAGCTACAGAGTCCAGCTTTGCTGGCGCCACTGATGTAGGTCTCCCAATGAGGGATATGCTACCGCTGGATGGAGTTAGAACACAAATAGACCACTGGATTTCTGCACGAGTAAGCCACTGTCACACTTACCAGAGGAGGGGATTGTGGGTCGGGAGGAGTTGAAGAGCTGCATTGCAGCAGTAATGACGACTACTGGTCTAGTACAGCTCAGCTGGATCCTAGGACGCCCATCTGCACCACGTCTGCAACTTTTGGCAAGATAGATCTTAGCTTAATCAATTCCAGCAATGTTATTGGCCGTGGATTAGCAGCGCTGTTCCATAGCGCGGATAGATAGAGTTTGTGTTTGCTTTTTCTCTGCGTTTACGGAAAAGATTTCGTACCTATCATTGCCAGCTGAAAATAGGATCAGTTAGTTCAATTGACACGTGAGTATCGTAAATGAGAGCGATACTGAAATACTAACACCTGTAGTCTGGCAAATGCTACTCCTGGGCCTGGGCCAGGCCGACGATTCCCGCGATCTGCCATGGTTAGCTGCAATCCGTATAGTTGCAGATCTTCTGCAGCATGGACCAATGGTTCATCGTGTCTTAGGTGACGGTCCAATAGTAGAATCTAAATAGAGTAGCTGCAACCTCCAAGGTTGCTCTTGTTCCAATGTCTCACAACCAGTGGGTCGTGAATCCCAGCTATGTTCCTCGGCTGGCTCGAGGGTGCAGATATCCCTCAGCATGCGTAATGTGGCTGGATAACCGTGCCAATAGCCGACGGGTGAAACAATGGAATGAGAGAGGTGTCGATTTGCTACAGTTCTGGTAATGATGAGCGATAGGTCCTAAACTGGTCAATGCATGGTGAGGTTGTTAGCAGCAGTGTAACCTGACCATGCAGCGTGAACTTAATTTGAGTAACTGCGGAGTACGACATGGACTCACCGGGTACCATCCGAAGTCAACTTGGGACTGCCTCGCGCTATGGTAAATGTCTACAGACGAGATACAGTGGACGTGGCTGGCTGAGATGGCTTGTCTCATGTAGATCTCGTTGATTACCTTCTCATTACGGATATAGAGTCCGTAGATGAGGTAGTCCACGCATATCCACGCAAGCCTGGATGTGATACAACAGCACTAGGACGCAAATGAGGCGATTGATTCCCCATGGGGAAGTAAGGATACGGATTACTGAATCCAGAGGTACCGCGAATGAACAAAAGTAGATAATGTAGTTCGCAATCCTTGCCAAATTCAATCATATCTTAAGCTGGAGACCTTGGCGATACGCATGTTTCTCAGCTGGAGCCCATCCTGAGCTATAACTAAGTATCTACTAAGTGTGATGCACTTGAAATCACCTGGGTTCAGCTCACTCGTGCAGCGCGACTGCAGGAATGAGACACGTCACAAACAGACGGATCTTCAAGCTGAACCTCTCGTGAATACCTTGCCACCTCCCAGTGCTGCAGATCGTCCGTGCTGACGACCAGACCATTGACCTTCTGTGTTACATTTTGCCCCCGTCGACTGACTTCCACTCACGTTCTCGATCGGACACACTTGACCCCAAAGTCCTACAAGACTATCAGTTGCTTATAATCTCCTGAAGCCCAACCAAACCCTTGCTCTCTGTTGAAGTTTTACCCTTTTTCATGTATAAACAAACATGCTATTAAAACACTCCATCCTCTCCCTTCTTTGTGCTCTGGATGTCGCCTGGGCCTTGGATCCCTCTGCATGTTTCTCACCCGACGCCAAAGGCAAAGCCGGCTATGAAGCATGCTGTGCCAAACAGAGCAATGGCAAAGGCACTGTAGGCGGGGTTGTGTTCGAGTATACCTGCCAAACGTTCCTCAAAAAAGGCGGTGACTATGGCACAACTCACAAGGGAGTATCCAGCGCAAGGGAATGTGCCCAGCTATGTGCCGGCGACTCAAGCTGCGAAGCCAGCTCGTGGGGGAGCGGAATATCTCAATGCTTCCTGCTCTCGAGCAAAGGGTACACACGGTTTACCCCCAACCCCGGGTTCCTCATTCTCGAGAAGACGCCCGAGGAGCCGGAGAAACCGGATCGTGCAAAGGACTGCAAGGATCTAGTTGATGCGGGGAAGAAAGAGGGCGAGGCGCAGTGTGCTACCGATAAGGATAAGCTCCGAAAGGAGGGAGAAGAGGCTCTGCGTGAGTGCCAGAAGCAGAAGGAGGCAGCTGTTGCAGAGTCCAAGACACAATGTGAGAAGGAGAAGGAATCCGCTATTGCAGAGTCCAAGAC